TAAGTTCTTTTAAAAAAATATATTATTTAACGAATATCGAAGATTTCATTAAAAAATATTTGTTCATGGACTAGCGCGGATTTTTTTTAATATTACTTAAAAATATATTTCTAAAAAAATCCACAATATTCATTAAAAAATATAATTTTTAAAAATCCACGCAATTGGGTAATAAATGTCTTTAAAAAGTTTTAGAGAAAATATTATAAAAAATAAGATATTCCTTAAAAAAGTGTTTAAAAATTTAAAGGTAGTCTTTCAAAAAAATACCCTTTAAATAATCCACGATTTAAGGGTAATAGATTTTTAATAAATATTGCTTCAAGTACTATAAATTATTTTTTCATAGAGACGTAAATTTTTTTTAAGATTATTTTTTCAAGGTCGTGATGTTCTTTGAAAAGTATTCACAAAAAAAACCTACGGTTGTCCATTAAAAAATAATTTAATATTTTATATTTTTTTTTATCTATTTTTTAACTATCGGGAAATTTTTAAAGATTTTTTAACATCTATTTTAAATTTAATTTTCTCTTAAACTTTTTAATAAATATTTTTTACCAACTATTGTGGATTTTAAAAAAATATTTTTTTTAGAAATATTTTGGATTTTTTAAATATTTTTAATGGTAAATAAATAAAGACTATTCTGAATGCATTTTTAAGGACTTTTATATAATATTCTACAAAAAAGTCCTTAAATAAATAAATAATAAATTATTTTTACCGACTATCGTGGGTTTTTAAAAAAATATCCTTTGGTGGAATATTGTGATTTTTTTTAAATATTTTTTAAGGACTAACTCTATTAAGAATGTTCTTTCAAAGACTAAGAGTATTTTTTTAACTTACCATGAATTTTTTAGGTCGCGGGTTTTTAAAACTGTCGCGTCTTTTTCTTTAAAGGATCAACTATGTTAAGGCCTTATTTTTGCATAATATGTTCCAAGAAAAATTTGAAGTAGGATTTTTTGCTAAGTAAAAATGTGGCCACGACCCCGGAAATATCCCCAAATGAGTGCTATACCAAACGTGGGTCCAATTTGATAAATTTTTGCTAGGGTGACTTCTTCTTATTACCAAAATTGGCTGAAAAATACTACTAAAATGCCTCCTATATTTCGCGGAAACTCGTTTGTGTGGATTCTATTTATTTTTTCATCCGCTTCCGCAATTACACGATACAGAACCAAATCTTAGTACTACAGAATGTCATATAACATATTAATTCCCTCGACATTTGAATTACATTTCCCCATTTTTACTAGCGAACACTTTAAACACCCATTAAAATCTTCTTTGGGTCCCTAAAGGCGCTTATGTAGCACAAAATCTAAATTGCTATCCCTGATGCTTATCAAAGTTAAATTATAAAATTTATTGCATAGCAGAGCAAGGTTTCGATCCTCGGACCTCTGGGTTATGGGCCCAGCACGCTTCCACTGCGCCACTCTGCTCGATGAAATATGATGGGAAAATCTTCAATTTATTTGAGGTACTTTTTGGAAGAGGGAATAAAAAATTACACATCTTATACAAGGATATTGAAATTATATTAAAATAAATGTATAAGCAATGAAATCCAGTACATTTAGAATTCAGTTCGGGAGATGCAAATATGGACATAAGCCATAAGCTATTTATAAGAATTTTTTTTTTTGGCACAAACCGCTTTGGGTTAAATTTGCAAAACGAAAATTTTTAAATACAAACTAGGCGAGCATGCAGTTATTTGATTTTGAGCCACAGAAAGTTTGAATTAATTTGGTATAGAAAAAATATTTAAACACGAAACATTAAATGTATTCAATTAGCAGAGCAAGGTTTCGATCCTCGGACCTCTGGGTTATGGGCCCAGCACGCTTCCACTGCGCCACTCTGCTTGTTAGCATAGCGAAAACAAAATTAAATAATAAACACACGAGCAGACACCGTTTATCGTATTAAGCTAACAATAATTTAAATGGAGGTATTTGGATACAAACCCCAAAGTTTTCAGAAATTATCCGTCCTCCATCTATATTTATAGGGCAGATGGATCTAGAAAAATATTCTTTAAAATTCACTCTTTTAGCTTAGATTGTACTTAAAAATATGCTCTTCAACCATCAAAATTTGCGATTCTTATCGTCCTTGTAAAAAATGTTTTTTTTTTTTTGTAACCCTCATTTATAGATCAAATGGTCTATGGAAAAATATGCTTAAAAGACATTTTAAGCTCAAATGGACCTTGAACAAATATTTCTTTAGAATTCATATTCATAGCCTGGATGGTCATTAAAAATATTCTAAAAAGTCAGATCTCAGACCTAAAATTTTCAGGAATTATCCATCCACCATCCACATTTATAGTTCAGATGGTCCTTGAAAATTATTCTCTAAAATCCACGTTTGTAGCTTAGATGATCCTTGAAAATACATTCTTCAGACATCCACATTTGCAGTTCATATAGTTCTTGTAAAAATGTCTTTTAAAATCCTCATTTGTGACTCAAATGATCCTTGAAAAAAATAGCATTAAAAACCTTTGAAACTCAAATGGACCCTGAACAAATAATTCTGAAAAAATCCGCATTTTTGGCCTGGACGATTATTAAAATATATTTTTAAAAATCAGATCTCTAATCCTTGAAAAAAATTCTTTTAAACCCTAAGTTTGCTCAGATCTAATCAGAACAAATAATTCTCAAAAATCCACATTTTTAGTCTGGATGGTCATTAAAAATATTCTAAAAAATCAGATCTCTAGTCAGATTACAGACCTAAAGTTTTCAGAAATTATCCCTTCTCCATCAACATTTATAGATCAGATGGTCCTTGAAAATTATTCTCTAAAATCCACGTTTGTAGCTTAGATGGTCCCTGAAAACATATTCTTCAACCATCCACATTTGCAGTTCATATAGTCCTTGTAATTTTTTTTTAAATCCATATTTGTGACTCAAATGATCCTTAAATAAATTTGAAGCTCAAAAGGACCTTGAACAAATATTTCTCAAAAATCCACATTCTTAACCTGGATGGCCATTAAAAATATTCTGTAAAATCAGATCTCTAATCCTTGAAAAGAATTATTTTAAAACCCACGTTTGCTCAGATCTAATCATATCAGGCAATTTTTAAGAATTATTATTTTAAAATATAAGATTGTGTCTCAATCATTAAAGTTTTTAGCTCAGGCAGTCCTAGAAAAATTATTCTGGAAAAAATCCACGTTTATAGCTCAGATGATCCTTGACAAAATATTTCCCAACCATGCGCTTTTTTAGCTCAAATGAAACATTTACAAATATTCTTTAGCTATGGCGCTTACAGCTCGGACGATCCTGGGAAAACATATTCTTTAAAAATCAGCTCTTGAAGCTTTAGTATTTCTTGAAAAAATATTTTTTAAAAATCCAATTTTATTGCTTATATTGTCCTTGAAAAATGTCCTTTAACCATCAACATTTATGACTCAGATTCTCCTTCAAAAAATGTTTTTTAAAATTCCACGTTTGTAGAACAAATTGTCCTTGAGAACATGTTCTTTAAAAACCATGCCTTTTTATCATATGGTCCTTGAAAAAATTATATTTCAACCATCCACGTTTCAAGCTCAGAAGGTCCTTGATTTTTTTTTCTTTTGCTTAAAAACTCGATATTTGTAAAATATTTTTTTATAAATCCAATTTTTAATTTTCTAAACAAACACCTTTCTTGACGATCCTGGGAAAACATATTCTTTAAAAATCAGCTCTTGAAGCTTTAGTATTTCTTGAAAAAATATTTTTTAAAAATCCAGTTTTATTGCTTAGATTGTCCTTGAAAAAATATCCTTCAACCATCAACATTTATGACTCAGATTCTCCTTCAAAAATATTTTTTTTTTTAAAAATCCTCGTTTGTAGAACAGATTCTCCTTGAAAACATGTTCTTTAAAAACCAAGCCTTTTTATCATATGGTCCTTGAAAAAATTATATTTCAACCATCCACGTTTTAAGCTTAGCTGGTCCTTGATTTTTTTTCCCTAAAAACTCGATATTTGTAAAATATTTGTTAAAAATTTGAGTTTTAATTCTCTAAACAAACACCTTTCTTGAAAAAATCTAACAATTTTAAACCTGCAATTTTGTGGTTGATTAAAACCATGCTCTGTAACCCCTCACCCCAGCCAACATCACTTCCAGCTACGACAAAAACTTGTAATGATTTACAATGTCAAACTTTTCCAAGGAACAACAGCTAAAACTAAAATTTCGTTCTGAGGGGGCGATTGGGTGAAGGTAGTGTAATTTTGGCTGTAATTTGTAACTGTAAAATTAAGTAGAACTAAACAAAAAGATAAGTAGAAGAAAAACGGGTGACCCCCCTAAACCACCCCTTACAACACTATTTCAGGGAAAAAGGTAAATTATTTTGAAACTATGTTTTAGTTTCCTTGGATGGCGGTTGTTAACCTCCAAAATCCCATGACCAAGAACAGTCACTTTGATGACTGCTGCTCTAAGAAAAAAGCAAACGCAACTTCGCTGTGGAACACTAAAATGACAAGAAATAAAACCACATAACACATAAAAAAAATGCAATAACAAAAACAATGGACAAAGTTTAATGTACAAAAACAAAAAAAAACAAAACCGTTTTAGAAGTTTGAAATGCAAACAAAAAAGGTTCCACAAAATAGTGGGAGCTTGGTTAGAACTTGGTTAATGATTTACAAATCTAGGGATGGGGATACTTGCGGGTGGACTGGAGTAAAAACAAAAAGGTTGGGTGTGGGTGTATGTGTTTACTTCAACCATTCACCTAAATACGAGTACACGCCCTCATTTAGTAGCCGGTTTGTTCATTTACAAAAAATTATTGCAAGTGACCCTGCTTCTCCCCGAAGCCGGTGGTGTCATGCAGTAGCTGCTACTGCAAGAAATCCATCTTAGCTGTTATTTTTGTTATTTCCATGTTACCTTTTTTGTTATTTCATAATATTTATCTTTGTCTCCTTTTTCTATTTTTTCAGTCCCCATGAACAGTGATTTTGTGAGAATATTCCCCAGTCCCTTGGTTGGAGTTGGTGGTCTACAATTCTGGCATCAACGAGTGGCCAGAGATGTCACAGCAGCCCTGCAATCGGCCAGCCTGCAACAGAAAAAGGACATGGCTAAAGATATGCTAATGCAGGGTTCTTCGACGGAAGTCACCATGGATCAGCCACAAGGTAGGTATAGAAAAATACAAAAAACTAAAGGATGCAGATGCTTAGAAGACCTGTAAACGGTCTTCTAAATATAGAAAACCTGTCATGGGTCTTCCACCCGCAAAAGTCCTTTAAAAGGTTTTCTGTTCATTTTTCCAAAAATATTTTTAAAGAATATTTTTTCCAAGGACCTACAGACCAATAAACGTGGATTTTTAAGGAATATTTTTTCCAAGGGCCTGCAGAGCAATAGACGTGGGTTTTTAAAGAATATTTTTTCCGAGGACCTATAGAGCAATAAACGTGGATTTTTAAAGAATATTTTTTCCAAGGACCTACAGAGCAATAAACGTGGATTTTTAAAGAATATTTTTTCCAAGGACCTACAGACCAATGAACGTGAATTTTTAAAGACTATTTTTCCAAGGACCTACAGACCAATAAACGTGGATTTTTAAAAAATGTTTTTTCCAAGGACCTACAGAGCAATAAATGTGGATTTTTAAAGAATATTTTTTCCAAGGACCTTCAGACCAATAAACGTGGATTTAAAAAAAAAATAATATTATTTCCAAGGACCTACAGACCAATGAATGTGGATTTTTAATTTTTTTTTTCAAGGACCCACAGACCAATGAACGTGGATTTTTAAAGAATATTTTTTCCAAGGACCTACCGACCAATAAACGTGGATTTTTAAAGAATATTTTTTCCAAGGACCTTCAGACCAATCAACGTGGATTTTTAATTTTTTTTCAAGGACCCACAGACCAATGAACGTGGATTTTTAAAGAATATTTTTTCCAAGGACCTACCGACCAATAAACGTGGATTTTTAAAGAATATTTTTTCCAAGGACCTACCGACCAATAAACGTGGATTTTTAAAGAATATTTTTTCCAAGGACCTTCTGAGCCTCTAACTTGGATTTTTATAGAATATTTTTCCAAGGACCTACAGATAAATTAACGTGGATTTTTAAAGAATATTTTTTCCAAGGACCTACAAACCAATAAACGTGGATTTTTAAAGAATATTTTTTCCAAGGACCTACCGACCAATAAACGTGGATTTTTAAAGAATATTTTTTCCACGGACCTTCTGAGCCTCTAACTTGGATTTTTATAGAATATTTTTCCAAGGACCTACAGATAAATTAACGTGGATTTTTAAAGAATATTTTTTCCAAGGACCTACAAACCAATAAACGTGGATTTTTAAAGAATATTTTTTCCAAGGACCTACAGACCAATAAACGTGGATTTTTAAAGAATATTTTTTCCAAGGACCTACAGACCAATAAACATGGATTTTTAAAGAATATTTTTTCCAAGGACCTTCTGAACCTCTAACTTGGATTTTTATAGAATATTTTTTCCAAGGACCTTTTGACCAACAAATGTGAATTTTTAAGAATTTTTTTGCAAGGATTTTAAAACAATAATTTTTCAAGCCAATATTTCGGTATATTTTTTAGACATTTTGATGGACTCTTTGAAGGTCTCCTGTAGACATAGGATATTTTGAAGGTCTTCTTTTCGACATTTCGAATATCTTCTATTGGTAAAAATCCTTATGAAGGTCTTCTAAAGTTGTAAAAACTCTTGAGGGTCCTTTACAGCTAGAAGGTATTTCGATGGTCCTCTTAATTAAGATTATCTCTTTTTGCTTTTGCGATAAGGCACTTCTCCCCATTTCCTTTTAAAATCACTCCCTTCATAAATTTTTCCATTTACCTCTTGAATATTCCATACATTTGTGTGGTCACTAATTCCCAGATAATAACAACCTATATAGATACACATACATATACGTATGTGGTCGCGGCCATATCCTTTCTGTGGCCGAAAGGTAGCCAACCACCCCCAGTAATAACGACGACAACAACAAACACATCTCATATCAAACACCAAATAAAAACAATGCCAAAGAAATTATTGTTGTCCTGTTATCTCTTAGAGAGAACATTTTTACAAGGACATAGAATGAGAAAGAAAAGAAATATTATTCACATGCTTTTGTTTTTTTTTTGTTCTTCTATTTCTTTTCATTACTCGACCATACAATGTTGCCTGCGACTGATGATGTTACTTTTACTGCCGTAATGGTCGAATGGCTTGGTTGCTGCTGCTCCTGCCCGCCACATGGACACGCGGTTGACGATGCTTTTGTTCGATGATGATGGTATGGTGCTATTCCTCTCTAGGCCAATGTCTATTGGATGGTGAATATGTGCCAGAGACAACGGTTTTCTGTGAGAAACAAGTCGGCTGTCGTGCCATACAAAAGACAGGACACTGTTGTCCTGATTATAAATGTGGTAAGTTTACATTTTGTATGGAACTGAGATGGAATGGGAGAAACATGAATAGGTGGCTAATATAAATATTTAAGGTGCTTAAGGTCTTCTATTTCCCACAGAAGAGCTTATGGTCTTCTATTTTCCCATAGAGAGCTTAAGGTCTTCTATTCTCCATAGAAGAGATTAAGGTCTTCTATTTCCCATAGAAGAGCTTAAGGTCTTCTATGGCCCATAGAAGAGCTCAAGGTCTTCTATGGCCCATAGAAGAGCTCAAGGTCTTCTATGGCCCATAGAAGAGCTCAAGGTCTTCTATGGCCCATAGAAGAGCTCAAGGTCTTCTATGGCCCATAGAAGAGCTCAAGGTCTTCTATGGCCCATAGAAGAGCTCAAGGTCGTCTATGGCCCATAGAAAAGCTTAAGGTCAGCTATTTCCCATAGAAGAGCTTAAGGTCAGCTATTTTCCATAGAAGAGCTTAAGGTCTTCTATTTCCCATAGAAGAGCTTAAGGTCTTCTATGGCCCATAGAAGAGCTCAAGGTCCCATAGAAGAGCTCGAGGTCTTCTATGTCCCATAGAAGAGCTCGAGGTCTTCTATGTCCCATAGAAGAGCTCGAGGTCTTCTATGTCCCATAGAAGAGCTCAAGGTCTTCTATGTCCCATAGAAGAGCTCAAGATTTTCTATGGCCCATAGAAGAGCTCAAGATTTTCTATGGCCCATAGAAGAGCTTTAGTTCTGCTTTCATCAATCAAAAGAGGAATAGGATAGCTTTATGAGAAGAGCTCAAGGTCTTCTATGGCCCATAGAAGAGCTCAAGGTCCTCTATGGCCCATAGAAGAGCTCAAGGTCCTCTATGGCCCATAGAAGAGCTCAAGGTCTTCTATGGCCCACAGAAGAGCTCAAGGTCTTCTATGGCCCATAGAAGAGCTCAAGGTTTTCTATGGCCCATAGAAGAGCTCAAGGTCTTCTATGGCCCATAGAAGAGCTCAAGGTCTTCTATGGCCCATAGAAGAGCTCAAGGTCTTCTATGGCCCATAGAAGAGCTCAAGGTCTTCTATGGCCCATAGAAGAGCTCAAGGTCTTCTATGGCCCATAGAAGAGCTCAAGGTCTTCTATGGCCCATAGAAGAGCTCAAGGTCTTCTATGGCCCATAGAAGAGCTCAAGGTCTTCTATGGCCCATAGAAGAGCTCAAGGTCTTCTATGGCCCATAGAAGAGCTCTAGGTCTTCTATGGCCCATAGAAGAGCTCAAGGTCTTCTATGGCCCATAGAAGAGCTCAAGGTCTTCTATGGCCCATAGAAGAGCTCAAGGTCTTCTATGGCCCATAGAAGAGCTCAAGGTCTTCTATGGCCCATAGAAGAGCTCAAGGTCTTCTATGGCCCATAGAAGAGCTCAAGGTCTTCTATGGCCCATAGAAGAGCTCAAGGTCTTCTATGGCCCATAGAAGAGCTCAAGGTCTTCTATGGCCCATAGAAGAGCTCAAGGTCTTCTATGGCCCATAGAAGAGCTCAAGGTCTTCTATGGCCCATAGAAGAGCTCAAGGTCTTCTATGGCCCATAGAAGAGCTCAAGGTCTTCTATGGCCCATAGAAGAGCTCAAGGTCTTCTATGGCCCATAGAAGAGCTCAAGGTCTTCTATGGCCCATAGAAGAGCTCAAGGTCTTCTATGGCCCATAGAAGAGCTCAAGGTCTTCTATGGCCCATAGAAGAGCTCTAGGTCTTCTATGGCCCATAGAAGAGCTCTAGGTCTTCTATGGCCCATAGAAGAGCTCTAGGTCTTCTATGGCCCATAGAAGAGCTCTAGGTCTTCTATGGCCCATAGAAGAGCTCTAGGTCTTCTATGGCCCATAGAAGAGCTCTAGGTCTTCTATGGCCCATAGAAGAGCTCTAGGTCTTCTATGGCCCATAGAAGAGCTCTAGGTCTTCTATGGCCCATAGAAGAGCTCTAGGTCTTCTATGGCCCATAGAAGAGCTCAAGGTCTTCTATGGCCCATAGAAGAGCTCAAGGTCTTCTATGGCCCATAGAAGAGCTCAAGGTCTTCTATGGCCCATAGAAGAGCTCAAGGTCTTCTATGGCCCATAGAAGAGCTCAAGGTCTTCTATGGCCCATAGAAGAGCTCAAGGTCTTCTATGGCCCATAGAAGAGCTCAAGGTCTTCTATGGCCCATAGAAGAGCTCAAGGTCTTCTATGGCCCATAGAAGAGCTCAAGGTCTTCTATGGCCCATAGAAGAGCTCAAGGTCTTCTATTTTCCCATAGAAGAGATTAAGGTCTCCTATTTTCCCATAGAAGAGCCTAAGGTCTTCTATTTCCTATAGAAGAGCTTAAGGTCTTCTATTTACCCGTAGAAGAGCTTAAGGTCTTCTATTTTTCCGTAGTAGAGCTTAAGGTCTTCTATTTTTCCTTTGAAGAGCTTAAGTTCTTCTATTTTCCCATAGAAGAGCTTAAGGTCTTCCATTTCCCATAGAAGAATTTAAGGTCTTCCATTCTATCTTCCCTCAAAAGAAGACCTATATCTCACCAGAAGACCTTCTTTCTTCCCTCATCAAACCCTCAGTAGAAGACCTCTGGAACCTATATCCTCTGAGCCGCTATAGAAGACCTCTACCACTGTTCTCCAACCATGACCACCTGTCCACGTGACTAACAAAATTCTTCCTTCAATTATGTACACCTACTTTCTGATAACAAAACACACAAGCAGCCATACCTAAAGTGTTGCCCACGTCCTCCGCCAGGTCGAGTGTTGTGTTTCTGTTCGGTTCAGTTTTGTTTTATTCTTGTCCATGTTTTAGTTATTGTATGCAAAATGTTTTAAGAGTATTTTATAAAATATGCTAACAATTTTCTTCCACTTCTTCTTCCTTCTGTTTCATTTTTCTCATTTGAATGATGATGCTGCTACTGTTTGGGCGCCACCATGGAATAACACCTTCACAAAATGTTTCGTGTTGCTGCCTTGCCTACTATTATAACACTTTCGCTCGCTCTCACTCTCCACACGTTGGACACCCTCTGCAGATTGCCAAAAGGATGGTAAAACTTATTTAAATGGCGATAAGTTAGTGGATCCGGAGACACCCTGCACTGTTTGCTACTGTCAAGGTAAAGTGTTGGAAAGTTTTACCGACCCAAAATGGAAAGGAAAGACAACAACAGCAACAACTAGCAGCAACCACAGAGGGCAGGAAAATTGCATATGGACAACAAAATTTTACTTTTATTGCCAATGTTGGTGTTGTTTTGAAAACCATTGCTGCTGTTGTTGTTGTTGGTCCTCCATCCTAGAATTAATGCAATTTGTTTACGAAAATATTCTATTCTACTAACTTTTACCCCCTCACTCTGTTTTCTTTCTCACTTCCTGTAGGTGGCGAAATTCTATGCAGTTCTGTCACCTGCTTCCATCGTGACGACTGCACACCCAAATATATTCCAGGTGTCTGTTGTCCAGAATATGATAATTGTCCGGGTAAGTTAATTTTTATCTATTTATTTATTTTGAGAAAGTTTTCTTGTGGGTTTCTAGGAGTGGGGGAGGAGGTATTCTTTTAAAGGTGAACAAAGAGAAAAAAATTTAGATTTGTGTTGTGCGGTTTTCAAGTTCGAGGGAAAGTTCTTGTTGTTATGGTCAAGGACACGGAAGTTGGAAAAATTATTGATATTAGGAAGACATTTATAGAAATCCAAATTAATTTTAAGTTATTGAAAGGCTCAATTTTATTTTGTTCGGGAAAACTCTGCTAAGTATTATTTTTGAGGAGTATTTTCGTAAAAGAAACAAGTTAAAACCAGTACCCTACACCACTTTGCTAATTTAGTAGAGCTCCGCATAACAATTAAAAGTTTTTATGGCAGAATTCAATCATACACGCTATGATTATAATTATAATTTAAAATTCAAAGGACTAAATATGCCGAAGCATTTCTCTCTTTTAAATTCTGACTTGTATTGCCCATTTGGTGCAGAATTATTTTGAAATCGGATAAAGATATATGTGGGAGCTATATCTAAATCGGAACCGATCTCGATAAAATTTGGCTAAGATATTTCTGAGCTGTATTTGATATATTTCCCTGAATATCGTTGTTACGGAGTGCATATTACTGCTGTGGGTAACAAATAACACAAATCGGATGAACAATATATACGGGAGCTATAGCTATAACTGAACCGATCTTCACCAAATTTGACATACTAACTTCAAAGACTCAATTCGATCGTAAGTGCCAAATTCCATCCCATTTGGGCAAATATTAGACGTTTGATGCACAATAAAAGGTAAATCGGACGAAGTTATATATGGGAGCTATATCCAAATCTGAACCGATCTCGATAAAATTTAGCAAATGTATTTCTGAGCTGTATTTGATATATTTCCCCAAATATTGTTGTTACAGAGTACATATTACGGACAAAAATAACAAATCGGATGAACAATATATATGGGAGCTATAGCTATATCTGAACCGATTTCGATCAAATTTGGCATACTTATTTTCAGGTCTAATTTGGTTGTATGTGCAAAATTCCATACTATTCGTGCTGATATTACACGTTTAGTGCACAAAAAAAGGCAAATCGGAAATTGTGACCTTTTGTGGGTGAGGTACCAGAAGGGTTTGGCAGAAATATATCATCTTCACAAAATATCTTGCGTTAGCAAAACTATTTGGATGAGTGAGATTTGAAGAGAGTTGGGTGCTTATTTCGCTTTCTTTGAGAAGGAATGATCCGATTTCTGTCATGGATATTCAAAATTTCGGCCATTTGTGGGGGAGGTACCAGAAGTAGCTGACCGATACATCCCAACTTCACACCAGGCCTTGGGTTAATAAAAATATTGTCATGTGTGTAATTTGAAGAGAACCGGATGCTTATTTCGTATTTTATGATCGTTTTGGTTATTTAAAATTTTGACCCTATGTGGGGGAGGTACCAGAAGGATTGGTTCGATTTCTTCCATATTTATAACAGATTTTCTGTTGATGGAAATATTGAGATGTGCCAAGTATGAATGGAATCGGATGTTAATTTCGTGTTTTATGAGCTCCATGAATGTTCAAAATGTTAGCCCTTTTTCAAGAAGGAGTAGACCGGTAGATTCCATCTTCACACCAGACCTGGGGCAAATAAAAATATTTTGATGTATGTAATTTAAAGACAATCGGACACTTAAATAACATTTTGTAAGAGTTATAATTATTCAAAATGCTGACCCTTTGTGGGGTAGGTAGTTGATGGAGTGGACAGTTATTGTGCGCACCAGCCAGATAGACAGACATATAGACGGACGGACGGTCATCGCTAGATCGACTTCAAATGTTGTGAAACGGATTTGGTCCAAAGAGACTTCGTCTAAAATCTTTATTTCGATGAGATACGTTTTGGCCGTATCAAATGATAAATACCCTCTGTAGCCATTAGCTGAGGATATCTTTAGGGCCGTAAAAGCTTAAAATATGTTATCAATGAATAATATTTTATCATGGACCCTGGAAGCTATATTCGAGAAATTTTAAAGATTTTTTGGGACCATCGGTGTGTCTGTAATGATCATGGAAAATATTTTGTCGAACTTCTCCCGAAAGGTTAAAAAATTTAAATGATGGCAACTCTAGTGAAATGTGAAATGAGTTTCCATTTATCTTCAAACTTCGCATATCCCAATATTTTGGCCTATCTCATCAATTTCCCCTTCTTGTACCAACCTCATAAAGGAGCGAAGGGAATATTCGATGCAGTTAACAATTTGACCAATATTGGACCACACATTCCTGTACATCCCTTCCAAAAGGTGAACATTTTGAATAACAATAAATCGGGGTCGGGGTCTTCTTTAGAAAGCCTTGTATTTGTAGTTTGTCTTAGGAATACCTATAAACTCAATTTTCTAATATCAAACATTTTTGTCTTTCACCCTTAACAGTTGCCTCATCGCTCAACAAAACAATGACCACGACAACATCCACCACGTTGAAGCCAGAACTACCTATAGCCGTTGATGATAAACCGAAGATAACAATAAAAGAGATCACAAAACCCACAGAGATACGTATAACCGATGATAACAAAGTTATACCGGTACCACAGATGTTGAAACCCAATCCAACAACAACTACCACAACATCCACTACCACCAGCAGCCCAACTACTGCAGCAACGACGACAACAACGACCACAGCAGCAACACCAATGCCCACCACACCAGCGATGATTTCCACAACTATGATGCCAGCTGTCACCACTGAAAATACACCAACAGATACTATAAAAGAAAAGCTTAGCGAAGACACCGACGTGCAATCCACAATTGTAGACACAAACCATTTGGCAAATGGCAATGCTGGCTCATCTCAGCCATCAAAAGGGGGCATTAATAGTGGAGACACTTTGAAATTAAGCGCTTCGGTGGCATATCCAACTGTACAGGGTGGTATAAGTTCGACTATGATGCCTCCAATGGTTTTGGAAAACAGCGGTGAGGTGGAAGACCCCGTTCCGGCCTTATCGATTTTCAGTACCCAGGGCTTGCCAGAAGATCCTAGTAAGGTGAATATTAAACGGGAATATTTCATTACCACCGAGGTGTACGATGGTCTGGGCAGTGGTGAATATCCCAATTCGGAGTTGATCTATGGTGGTCAGTCGGGTAGTTCGGGCACGGGACAACAATCTTTGGGGGCCTTGCATCAATCCTCAGCAGAAGTGGATGCTGATACGGCGGGCAGTGATAATATTTATCATATTATTTTGACCACAGATGGTCCGAGATTGACCACCACCTCGGAGAATTATTTGGCCTTGAAGGGCAGCGCCAGTACTGAGGGTGAGTGGGGAGGAATAACCTAAAAATTTAATTTTTTAATTTAAAATATTTTGTTTCAGGTTCTCCCTTTGAAGATTTATCCCCCGTGGCCCTGGATCCTGCTGCAGTTGACTCCAAACCCCAAGCCTCACCCACCACAGAAGGACCTGAGCTGGCCAAACATGACCATGTCCATCAACATTTGGATGAGGAAGAACCTGAAATCCCCTTGGAAATCAATCCGGCCTATCCATCCCTTCCGGCCGATGATTTTAGCATTCGTGGAGACAATAACTATCAGCTGTCCGATAATGAGGAAATCGGCGAGGAACCACGTAGCATTGGCCACATGGGTCATGGCCATCACCTGATGATGCACCATGAAGTCCATGAAATGGCCAAGAACAGCAAACATTTGGATGATGCCACATTTGGTAGTGGTAGTGGTAGTGGCAGTGGAAGCGGCAGTGGCATGGACATGATAATCGAGGATATGTCGGTGTTGATGCCCTCCGCCTCGACTGAGGGAAGTGGTGGCATGGATTTAAATGCAAAAGAAAAATCCAAGAAAACTCCTCCCGAGCTCATACAGCTCATGTATTCCGGCGAGGATTCTTCGGAAGAGACCCGTATCTCAAATTCTACGGATTTTCAAGAGTATGCCAAGAAATCCCCCGAAGATTCTTCCATGGAATCTGTGGAAATCTTAAAAACCCTTGAAGCCATGGTCTCGTCGGGTGAATTTGGCTCCGGCTCAGGAGCGGGAGAAATCAAAAGTGAGTTGAAACAGAAAGAAAGAGAGCCAACCACACCTAAACCCTATAAGGGAGCCTCTAGTCTGGACATTGATGATATAAGCGATTCATCTGGCAATGGCCCCCACGATGATCCCAAAGAAGATGCCGAAAGTTTGAAGCTAGACGACACGTCTGCCGAGACAACGGCCGATGCTGAGAAATCACCCAAGGGTAATATTCTGTCCGTTAAGGTACAACAGGATAAAGCTTTTCATGAGGAACTGGTTTGAGAGAGGCAGAGACGCCGAGAGAGAAAAATGAGTAGAGGGTAAATCGCAACAGAGAATGTAAATACTGAACAAAAAAGAAATAACGAGAGAGAGATTTTCAATGTTGTCAAAACGAAAATGAACAAAACTACAACAAACAGATATTGTGTAAAACAACAAATTAATTTTAAATAATTATCAATCATATTATTAATAATATTATTTATCATTCATTTTATCATTTTTTCATTTTCTAGAGACTGCATTTGAGATCCTAATCAAATACATAAATAGACCGATAAATAGATGAGAGAATAGTGGAGAAAAAAATCATAGAACATGAAAGCTCCTAATTAATTGATAATTTTAAATTAGTAACAGTTTAAATTAAAATGAAACCTAGGGAATAAGAGAACTTTTCTCTCCCGAGAGAGGGAGAGAGATAGAGAGAAGAATACAACCTTGTTATAATACAGAAGATATCAAAACGCAGAAAGAGTAAGAAGATAAGAGTATTCGATTTGAGTAAAAAGAGTTAAAATTTTTTTTGTTAATAGAACAATAAAATAGCTGGGCTCCCAATATGCAATAAAATACCGTAAATAATTTATGAACTTTCAAACCTAAATGAAAAGAGAGCTTAAAAGGGCAATTGAGTAGAAATCCAGAGAGACATTTCAAAAAAGCTTTAGGGGATATATTTGTAATTTTTTGAAGCCTAGATGGTAGCGATGTTTATCATTTAAACGACACAAAATATGGACAAAAGGACTGGTTTTGTCATTAACACTTGATTTTTACATTTTATGAACTCTGTACATTAAAATGAGAATAAATTAAATTCTCTCAAATCGTGCATGTTATGTACAGTTAATTCTATGTGTTCATTTTCATAAACTCTGGTTAGTGGTTACCGTAATGCAACTAGTCAAGTGCGATTGGCAATGGTACCCCTTCCCACATGTATAGTGTTCGGGAAATTTGGCATTTTAAGAAAGCAATTCATAGAACTAAAATAAGATGGCGTTAAATTAAAGTTCGTTAACCTTTTGTTTATTATATTTTATATATTCTGCGGCAATGTTTAGCAGGTTGATCTATGTTGAGGTTTTTGAGTTTTATGAACCCCGTGCAAAAAATTAAGAAAACACAAAATTATTTCAAATCGTTTATGCTTTGTATAATATATTATTTGTGGTTATATTCGTAACGACTAAAGAGTGGAGAGTCTAACCCATTTCCACATGAATAGAGTTCGGAATATTTAGCATTTTAAGAAATCTATTCATAGAACTAAAAACTGAGGTGTGGTATGTTTCAGTATTTTTCGGTAGTTTTATTTAATACTTTTTACTACGATAGCCGATGTTTTCTCTATGATATCGAAAAAAAATTACAAAACTAGTAGATTCTTGCAGGTTTTGGAACAGATCATATGTCTACATCTATGTTGAGATTACTGAATTTTTTCAGTGCTTCTAAATTTCTGGGATTAATGGAAGTAATCGAAATAGAAATAGCATGAAGAGTGCTCAAAGATATAGTAGCCAATGATGATATTTCTGTATTTTATGAACTCAGTACGTAAAACAAAAAACAATGGGTTCTCGTTGAATAGAGCCAACAAACCATTTTGTGGAATTAAACGGTCAATTTAAAACTAATTGCTTAATTTGTCTTCAAATTCTTATCATCTAATGTGAAAGTTTGTCTCGCTAAGTGTGACTTCATCAAATCTCCCTTGATTTGTTTCACTATAGTTTCTCTTTTATATATTTTGGAAAGTGTCTTTAACTGAGTAGAATTGTCATAAATTCCATTTATTGCAACGTAAAGTATCTACAAAGTTTGTGTGCGTTGCCGTTTCTAAATGAATAGAATTCCGAAAGTTTGGTTTATGAGATTTATGTATTTTATGAACACAGTACATAGAACAAAAAAATAGGTTCCTGACGGAGAGAGCAAAAAATTTCTCATAGTTTCTAAACTTCAGTATCCAGTTACTTATTGTTCGGAAAATTTCTACAATTATAAAATTCCAATTATAAAATTTCTACACTTTACATAAAAGTAAACACACTATTGCAAAAGGACGAAACAATAAAATGGTTGCATGCCAATTATGATTTTTTTGCATTTTATGAATTTAGTACATAAAACAAATAATAATGGATTTTTGTTGAGTTCGCAAGTGATTATGTTATCCGTCTCTTAATGAATAGTATGCAGAAAGTGTTGCCAATTCTGAGATTTTTGCTTTTTATGAACTTAATACATAAAACTAAAAACTTAGTACATAAAACTAAAAACGATGAGACCTAAAAAATTATTACGTGAAGTTCAATTTTACAATGGTCACTTCATAAGTTATTACTAAAAACTTCATTTCGTAAATTCTAGAAACAAATCACTTGTTTTACCTGCAACACCTTATCATAAGTTGTATAAGTTCCCACATAAATAATTCGGAAAATTTGACCCATTATTGAATTTCTGCACTCTATGGACTGTGCATAAATGTGAAAACACTACTTTTTGAGCAAGAGAGGGAAATAACAAAAAAATGATTACTTCGGCACTTATTGCTTTAAACTTTATTAGTACGATGCTTCTAAATTCCTAGTAGCAGTAAAATACAATTCAGCAAATTTGTCTCGTTAATTGTAAGTCCGTCAAATGGTCGTCGAAATGTATTTCCCCATGTGGAATTGGAAGGCGCTTGTGTATATATTCACTCTCTCTCACACAAAAAACTGAGTTTTGAGTTTTATGAACTGAGTTCATATAATGCAAAAATATAATTAGTGGCCACGGTTTTTTGCAAATTTATTCTTTAAGTAATGTATTAATACATTTCCTTGTCAAAAAGGAAATTTAAACATTTGCGTAAAAAAGGAGACACAAATATAAAAAAAGAAAAACATGTAGCCGGGTGTTGTCAATAGAAAAAAAAATAACTTTGCTCAGGTCACCCATATTTGCTTTTCGCTCTCTCTCCCATAAATAACCAGTGTTTGTAGTTTTATGAATTGGGTTCATAAAATTCAGAAATCCAAACATAAACAGTTTATAGCGTTTCCACGGCTAATCAAGAGAAAATCTTTGTAAGAATTTGCAGTTCACGAAACTTATCCAGTGGCAACAACCAACAATAGTGCGATTAATTCGACGTGGATGCCGTTTTGAAGGAGGAAAATGCTTCTTTGCAATAAAATAGGGAACTTATATTTGACAGAAATTGAGTTTATATTTGACTAAAAGTTTTTCTATGAGATTGTTAATGTAGGACACTATTTGTAATCGAAATCCCACCAAAATGAGCAAAAAGGCTTTTTGTTCTGCGGATTAAAAACCTCAAAGTTTTAACAAAATTTCTGGATTTTTCTTCCTGCTCGGTATGCCCTACAGCTCCATTTTTATCAATTTATCTTTTTTCAATCCCAAATCTCATTTTTTTCCTAACATTACAATTTAGTCTCAAACAAACAAGTATAAAAATCATTTCATTTGCAATTGTTTAGTTTTACATTAATTTGCTTAGTAAATATATATTTAAAACTTATTTATATGATTTAATTTTTTAAATAATTAAAAGTGTCGCCTCATATTAAATGTAGTATTTTTTTCTTTTAATTTTATTTAATTTTCATTTAATTATTTTAATTTTTCATTTAAATATAGAAGAGAGACTGAACGTAATAAGTTTCTTGAGCTTTTTTATTTGCAAAACAAAACTAAAGTCATAATTTTGTTTTAATAATAATTTATTATTTTTTAATTTATATCAAAAAAATATATGTCATAATTTCATAAAAAAAATAAATTATAAAATATTATTTTACAATTATATATAAATATTTGATCATTTGCCACGCCCATACGCACATAAACTAATTTAATTTAAAATTCAAGTCTTTCCATTCTCGCCACGAGAAGTAAATATCGTTTCATTTACATTTTTAATTTTTTTAATAAATCATTTTTAGTTTTTAAACTCTTTTAAGTTTTATTGCTGCTAAGATCATAAATTTAGTTTCTAATGATATTATTTAATTAATAAAAAAAGAAATGAAAATTGAAAAAATATTATTAAAAAAAATGTATGCATGAATTTGTAAGTTGTCCATGATGATTTTGAGAGAATAAATAAAGAAAAATTGCAAAAACTACAATTCGAAATGTGTGTTCTTCTTTTTGTATATAAATTTCGATTGGAAAGATAAGCAACGATTTCGCTACGTACACTTAGAGAGATAATAACTCGTAATTGAGAACTGAAGCACTTCCTAAAGAGTTAATGATTGCCAAAACAAGTAAAAAAGCTGTAAGTTCGACTGGGCCGAATTTTAAATACCCTCCGACATTTGGAACGAATTTGGCAATTTTCAAAAAAAGAAAATCCGTTAAAAATTTAAAATCTTAAAAATACCGAATTTAGCCGTTATATTAGGGTCTATACGACGATGTGAACCTGCATAGGTAAATTTTGTCATAAGCCAACATTCAAATGCGAAACTTGAAAAAAAAAATCGGTGAATAATGTAGCAAAAATCAATAAAATACCGAATATCGGGAGGTACCGTAAAGGGACCTGCACAGACAATTTTCTGTCATAGGCTGTAGTATCTATTACGAAATTCAAATACCAAATTTGAAACAATTCCGGTGCATAATGTCGCAGAAATCATCAAAATACCGAATATCGGGAGGTACCGTTATATAGCTATACGAAGACTTGGACCTGCACACACAATTTTCTGCCATAGGCTGTAGTATTCATTACGAACTTCAAATACCAAATTTGAAACAATTCCGGTGCATAATGTCGCAGAAATCATCAAAATACCGAATATCGGGAGGTACCGTTATATAGGGGCTATACGAAGTCTTGGACCTGCACAGACAATTTTCTGTCATAGGCTATAGTATCCATTACGAACTTCAAATACCAAATTTGAACAAATTCCGATGAATAGTGTCGCTAAAATCATCAAAATACCGAATATCGGGAGGTACTATTATATGGGGGCTATACGAAGACATGGACCTGCATAGATAATTTTCTGTCATAGGCTGTAATATCCATTACGAACTTCAAATACCAAATTTAAAAAAATTCCGGTGAATAGTGTCGCTAAAATCATCAAAATACCGAATATCGGGAGGTACCATGGCCCATTTTCAATACCAAAAGCCCTGTAGACATAATATACATTTGAGCAAAATTTTATCAACCTATTTCATTTCGTTTGGAAGCTACAGCGATTTCCACAGACGGAAGGACGTACATCGCTAAATGGACATAGAATTTTATGGTCCGATCTCTACCATTTTACAACAGATCTTGTGTTGATAAAAAATATTGAGCTAGGCCAAGCCTGAATGGGATTGGATGTTAATTTTGCGTTTTATCAGTTTCATGGATATTCGAAATTTTGACTCTTTGTGGAGGAGGTACCAGAAGGAGAGGTTTGATATATTCCATCGTCACAGCAGATCTTGTGTTAGTAGAAGTAATAGGATGTGTAAAATATGAAGAGAACTGGAAGCTTAATTCAGATTTTATGATTGTTTTACTTATTCGAAATTTTGACTCTTTGTGGGGAAGGTAACAGAAGAAATGGTCCGATCTCTACCATCTTTATAACAGATCTTGTGTTGATAGAAATATTGAGATTTGCCAAGTCTGAATGGAATAGGATGTTAATTTTACGTTTTATCAGTTTCATGGTTATTCAAAATGTTGACCCTTGGGGGGAGGTACTAGAAGCTGTGGATCGATATATTCCGTCTTCACACGAGATCTTAGGAAAATAAAAAAACATGATACACCGGACATAGAACTGATGCAAATATTTGGATATGCAAAGTTGGAGCAAAATCGGATAACCCTTTCACTTTCTGTGCAGTAAAATATTTTCTTCGAAAATTACGACCTTTTGTGAAAATACGAGCTCGATCTAAGTTTGCCTAAGACTTGATACGATGTAGCAAGTTTGGGCCAAATCGTATACACCCTTCGAGAGTTATCGTGGGCACCAACCAGACAGACGGACGGATGGGCGGACGGACATCGTTAGATCAACTCCAAATGTCCTGAGACGGATTTGGTCCAAAGAGACCTATGATCTAAAACCGTTTTTTCGATAAGGCACGTTTTGCCCTTATAAAATGATATATACACTCTCTAGCCATATGGCCTATTAGACTTCTATTAAAAAAGACGCACTGGTTATGACCCAAAAAAATCAGAGATTCAAATTAACGGGCTCTCTGAAAACATAGTTATTCCTCTAAAGGATCCACTCCTTATTCAGTAAAGGATAATAGGATCTTAGAATTATTTTTGTTTCAAAGACTTACAAATTATTTTCTCAGTGTATGCTTATGAACTGTAACTCCATAACATTTTTGGGATATCCATGGAAATAAAAAATCGAAAAAACAACAATTAAATATCAATCGTCATTCGCTGTTGTGCCACACATTAACCCAAGGCATCCACATTTAATTATACCCTTCTTTTCATCATTCAATCTTAATTACGGCGACAGGCAAGCCTCAAGACAGGCAAAACAACAACGAAAGTGAAATATAAAATGGGAAAATAAAAAATAAAAATAAGAGAGAAAAACAACAAAAACTTGGTCACAATGTTGCATAACTTAACCCCAGCTGAAAACAGAGGCGATCATAATCATCAGCAGCAGCAATAATAATAACAAATAATAAATAAAAATAACAAAAAAAACATTATTTTCACATATGCGCCTAGTTGTTGGGAGAAATGAAACATCAAAAACGAAAAACAAAAACATCTGAAAGCCACAAAAATTGCAATCAGAGCACACAGTGAAACATTTCGGACCAGCGCGCAAAATAAGCCACTAGACAACTAAACACCAAACCATTTGTCTTCCTAGGATGATGGAAAGAAAGGAGATATTGGTCGCCACGAAAAGATGAGATCAGACAGACACACAATGTTGGTGTGGGAAAATTTCTCACATATCTAATAAAATAGACAACGCAACAAAACGAGTGCCATATGATTTATGTGCAACAAACATTTTACTTTCAATGCGCTACGCAACAAAGTGGTGTTATGTGGGATTTGTATCTTCTATAGAGAAAAACAAGTAAAAAAAGTTGTAAGTTCGGCTGGGCCGAACATTGAACACCCTGCACCATTTGGAACGAATTTGGCTATATTCAAAAAAAAAAGATACGTTAAAAATTCTGTTAAAATCTTAAAAATACCGAATGTAGCCGTTATATTAGGGTTTATACGACGACGTGGACCTGCATAGGCAACTTTTGTCATATGTCATTACAATATTAAAAAAAAGATAAAATCATCAAAGTACCGAATATAGAGAGATACTATTATATAGGGGCTATACCAAAACGTGAACCTGCACAGACAATTTTCTGTCATAGGCTGTAGTATCCATTACGAACTTCAAATACCAAATTTGAAACAATTCCGGTGAATAATGTCGCTAAAATCATAAAAATACCGAATATAGGGAGGTACTGATATATGGGGGGCTATACGAAGATGTGGACCTGCACAGTAATTTTTCTGTTTTAGGCTGTACCATTCCTTTGGAACTTCAATTATCAAATTTGAAACAATTCCGGTTAATAATGTCGCTAAAATCATCAAAATACCAAATATAGGGAGGTACCGTTATATGGGGGCTATACGAAAACGTGGACCTGCACAGACAATATTCTGTCTTAGGCTGTAGTATCCAATTCGAACTTCAATCACCTAATTTGAAACAACTACGGTGAATAATGTCGCTAAAATCATCAAAACACCAAATATCGGGATGTACCTTTATATGGTGGCTATATGAAAACGTGGACCTACATCGCCCATTTACGAACTTAACCTGCCTACTGGCAAAATAAACATATGTGCACATTTTAGCCTTCTATCTCAATATGTTCGAAAGATAGCGTGATTACAACAGACAGACGGACGGACAGACAGACAGACAGACACACGGACATCGCTAAATCGACTTAGAATTTTACGGTGATCAAGAATATATATACTTTGTTGGGTCTGGCATGAGTATTTCGAGGAGTTATAAACGGAATGACAAAGTTAATATAGCCTCCATAGTATGGTGGAGGGTATAAAGTAGAAGTTGGCTTGATGAAAATTATTCCTACATTTGTAAACCCTCTGTCTTACCATTATCCCAAAAATAAGGGCAACTACATTCCCCCTATATTACCCGTAAGCTAAACAATAATGAGTTTGCCTATACAATTTATGAGGCAAAACAGCTTACATTTTTCCAACCAGGTAATGAGTAACGGCGGCACCTTCAACTAAAACATTTACGGTCCCCACTTCGAATCTCAGCGTCAGGAAGCAGACAAAAAAAACAAGCAACCCGACTATAGTGGCTGAATGCATGGCGTGATCGACTATCTTCTAAATAAAAAAGAATAGTGAAATAACTGACTGACCCAGAATTAAGGTCCAGACGAATCTGCTGATGCTATAAATCTTGAAATCTTCTACAACGGTCATTCTTGGTGCGTAGGCGCGTGAAAAGGCTGGGATTTTTGAAATTCATACTAAAAGGGTACAAAAAGTACTAAAAATTGAATACCTTCTATTGGACAATACAATACAGTGGAATGAGCATCAGTGATGGAGTGCAGATTAGATGAACCAAAAAGGTTTTGAAAATTCAAAATTGAAGGGTACGAAAAGTTCTTAAATCGCACTAATCTTTTAGAATTGTACCATTTGGTAATATACGAACGGATATATCTGAAAACTTGGCATATAGTATGAAACCAAGGTTGAAAAATAGGGTTAATAGAGGAAGATGGTTTGGAAATGTGTACTAAGTGTGCGAACTGTCCTAAATGGTACCTGTATCCTGTATCATAATTGAATGAAAAGTAGATAATGAAACTAAATTGGGTTTTGGGTGAGGGGATAGAGATAAAATTCTGAAATTTTATATTTAGATTACTGATGATATCCGTGTTTGAGATATAGTGGTGGTTTGGAAATGTGTCCTATATTTATAAAAAAATTTACTAAATGGTATTGGGTGAAGGAGTAGGGCTGAAATTTTGAAAATTGATATTGAGTTCATTGTTGGTTGCATGGTACAATAATATCAAGGTAGGGCTATGATACCATATTAATTTTTTTATTTTCTTGGCTTAATATGTACAATGAAGAGAAGATAGGTGTAAAAGGGCGAGAAAAGAATACGACCGAATGGTTCGGGTGTTATTTCAAATCTGATTTTATTTTTAAAATATGTTCCTTACATACTACCGAAACTAATCTAACTTAACCTAGTCGCAGCCATTCAATTGTTCTTATCTATTATTAAATTTAAAAGGAAACATTACATGGCTGCGTGTCCCTTCATTCAAGTGATCTTGGCTACCTAGTGGCGCATCGATATCTGTGTGTGTGGGTTATGACCTTTATTATCCTACACATTATCGTATGTGGCAGCGCACAAGATCACTGAATTGTACACATGTGATATTTTATGACCACTGGGAAATTGACAATTTTGAAATATTTATTTTTAATGGTTAGATTTTCCCAGCGACTCAGCCGCACTCAAAAGTATGTACAAAATATTTTGTACAGTAGGTCAACTTTGAAAAAAATGCAAGTATAGAGGTCTACCTGTTTGGCTTGTAATGTCAGAAATAGTATCAAAACAATAACAAAATCAAACAACTTGTTGCATTTATTTTGAATAAATAATTGAAACCCGCGAAAACTGAATGAAAGGTCAACACTTCTTTTCAAAACCAGGTTCTATATATCTCTAAAGGATTATTTCGCTACAAAAACTCTAGATTTTGTCGATGCATACGATGAAATAAACATTTTGAAAACATCCGAATTTGAATGTTTTCTGAACAATTTTTTTTATTGAAAAGAAAACACATACATAAACAAATAATGATGACATATTAAGCCAAGAAAATAAAAAATTGAAATCATATGGTATCATAGCCCTACCTTGATATCATTGTACAATGGATATGGCCGTGTTTGCATAAAATTTAAGATTATCATGGATAATATAATTATGGGGTCCCCGACGTTTACAGATGAAAAAACTGCAACCAACTTCAGACTACTGTCATTTCTAAGTCACTCGTCCGACAGTTGTTAAAATTATTCCAGTGGCAGCTCATTATATTGTTCACAAGCCTACAAAAGCATTTTGGTGAGAATTTTCCAGACAAAAAAAAAAGATATTCGTGATTTTAAGCGTGATACTGTGATTTCTTTATATTTGGCTGGAAAACCACAAGTGGCTATCGTTAGAGCACTCCAGCATTTAAATGTGAATAAATCTTTTGTGTCTCGTACCATCGCTCGTTACCGTGATACTGGTAGCGTAGCCCGATGTCAAGGAAGTGAACTGAAGAAAACAGCAACATCAGTAGAAATGGTTCGAAAAGTAAAGAAGCGACTTGATCGAGCCCGCGTCGCTGAACATATCGCAATATTCCATTCGGGAAATATTAAACAATGAGCTCGGGGTAAAGCCATTGAAATTCCGAAAAGTGGAAGAACTTACAGCGCAACAGAAAGAAAATAGACTCAAAAGAGTTGCCAACTATTATATCGAAAATATTGTGGAGGGTGCATTAAAGCCTTGGGCACGCAAATATTTTTGCCGCAGACTTTGGACATTACAACAGGACTCAGCACCTTCGCACTCAGCATGCCCCACCGAAGAATGGTTACAAGATGAGGTTCCTCGCTTCATTTCCAGCGCACAATGGCCACCAATCCGTTGGACTATTGTGTCTGGAGTATTTTGGAAAGCAAGGTTGGCACTAAAAAATACCAAAGTGTCAAGCAAACAAGCGCTCCGCCGGAAATGGGTCAAAATACCGCAGAGCAACATTTGGGCAGCGTGTGACGGTTTCATTGGCCGTTTGAAGGTCATAATTCGTGCCAAAGATGACCAATTCGAACAAATCTAAACTAATTCTAAAATTTGATGCTATTTCCGACATTATTTGCTTTCATTCAATAAAGTTAAAAAAAATGTAAAAATATGGGGTTTGACTTTGATGCAGTTTTTCTTATCTCACCCTGTATATATGGAACCCATAGTTACATCTTAACCTATTTTCAACCAATTTTGATACACTTTCTTACAGGCTGAATTCGTTTGTATTCATTTGGTGCAAAATAAACATGAAATCAAGTACGGATATATATAGTGGAGCTATATTCAAATCTGAACCGATTTCGATAAAATTTGGCTTAGGTATTTCTGAGCTGTATTTAATATATTTCTTCGAATATCGTTGTTACGGAGTGTATATTATGGACGACAGATTTAACAAATCAGAAGAACATAATATATGGGAGCTATAGCTGTATCTGAACCGATTTCCACCAAATTTGACATATTTTTTCTAAGGCCCAATTCAGTCGTTTGTACCAAATTCCATCCAATTTGGACTTATATTGTACTTTTGATGCACAATAAGAGGCAAATCGGTCGAAGATATATGTGGAAGCTATATCTTAATTTTGACCGATTATCTCCAATTTCAATAGGGTTTGTCCTTGGGCCAAAAAAATTCTTAGTGAGTCTTATTTCGATCGGATTCATTTCATTATGTGTAAAAATTGGGTTGACATGCGTATGTTTCCCTTTTGGCACTATTTCAAATATGCCACCCTATATCAAACCAACAAGACAACTGACCCGCGCAACTGTTCCAACAAATTTTGAGTGATGGAGGCCAACTGCATGGTCTTCAACCAAAAAAAAATAAGTTACATAATTAATAAAAATACGTGCTGGTAGTTCGGCCAAAAGAGCCACTCGTGTGGCGTATAAAGGAAGATGTAATACCAGTTGTTGCCCTTCTCGGCCTCCCCCTTTCCACCACTCACAAAAAATAACCGGTTGCTTCTTTGCGGCCGGTGCTAAGTGAATATGGTAATTGTATAATTGCACATGGCAAAGAGACGTTCATTCACAAATATTGAACAGAAGCCGCTAGAAGGGGGGTATTTAATATGCATTAGAGGTAGCAAACGCTCTAACTACGAACGAAGTAACCAATCAAAGCAAAACATTTCACCTCCAGTGACGGGACATGTCCAATTGCAACAGCAGCCATGATGGTGATGATGATGACGATGATGACGATGATGGCGATTGCCAAATAGGAAGCAAATAAATGGGCAATTGGGGTTAAGCTAAAAATCCAAAAAAAAACCAGACAATTCACAGATGTCTGTGGAAAGCCAAGAAACAGGAAATGGCAATGATCATTTGCCTCCATGTCTGGCAGCAGACAGCAGCACTACGATGGAGGAAAAGTGAGAGTTTTTAGGCAATGAAATCTGGTTTTGGAAACAAATAGACGACGACCTGCCAAACGACCCTTGGGGCAGGATTGGGTAGAGAAATGAAAGGCAAACGAGAGTCTTCTTCTCTCTAAATTAAAAGGTATTTTGTTTAATTTTTTTTATATTAAACTATTTTTTTTATTTTATTAACAATATCTTTTTTCAACAAATAAAATTAACAAATTTCAACATGAAAGGAATCTGTGATATCCGCTTAAATAACAAATGAGGAAAATGAAAATAGACGATGAGGGAAGAAAGATGTTGGGAAATGATGAAAGCTTAAAATCTCCCTTGGTCTTAGTTGCGACCAATTTGATCGACTTGCGATTGCAAATTATTGATGACTTCCGAGGGGACTTGATCGCCCAAAATTTCGAAGAGATTGATGCGTTGATTGCCGGGAATCTGTTCGTAGGCGCCCAACTCAATACCTTCTTGGACATTTTGGATTTGGGCATCCTTGGGAATGAGGAAGGTCTGTTGGGCCTGGCGAATGGCTTCGTTGGTATAGGCAGCACCTTCACGTTGTTGTGGGCGAGCAGTAGCCAAGGCCATCAAGGCAATGAGGGACACACACACCAAGAAAGATTTCATTGTTAAGCGTCTTTTTTTTTGATATCACTAAAATTTACACAAAAAAAATTATATATTTTTTTAATTATTATTTTTTTTTAATATTCCACTTTTGTTTCGATTGGAGACTGATCGTTACCACGATCTTACCTTAAGCACGTTCAACACGTTAATAGTCTACGAAAAGCACGTTGAGCCAGTGTTTATAAACTTGGTTAACATGGAATTGAGTGATTTTGTATTTGCTTGTCATGGCTGGCACTTTAAAATCAGAGAGTGAGAGAAAATTATGCAAAGAGCATACATACGACTCCCATTAATTTCTCTTAATTTTATAGACATGTTTTTTTTTGCAAATTGACCGCTGTCTTCTGGATTCGAATGGAATCCCAAAAAACTCATCTTCAATTCCAAACACGTTGGTTATGTTTTGGTGACTTCTTCGCCTTCTTTCACCACCAAACCACCGAATGAAAGTGAATCTTGTGATTAATTACGTTGGGGGGGTAGATGGACACCCGAAAGTGTTGTTCATGGTTCAGTGACATGACAATCATTTAAAATATCAATTTGTATTTATTCAGTGGTTTTATCACTTTTACTCTTCATTTGCATGACAGACTTTCTTCAGCAGAGAGCAGCAGTTAATGATGTTCGTTTTGGGAATTCCAAAATGGGGAGAATGTCCGCTGGGCCTGAATTTGAGATAGGGGTTTCGGAAAGTTTGGGAGCCAAAAACATGAAAGTGTAGATACATATTCTGGACAAAAAATCAATACCGGCAGCCTTTGTATAGATACAGTATATATATGGTCAAAATTAGCCTCAACTCCGTTTTAGGACATTTGGAATCGAAATAATCTGTCTAACTCTCGAAATGAGTATCCTAAATTTTCCAAATTTTTACATCGTAATATTTTTAGTCAATCTAGATCGAGGCCGGATGTGGACAATATCGGTTCATTTTTTCTGGTACCTGCCGATAAAAGTTTGAAATTAACAAAAAAAATTAAAAAGTCGGATTTGTCGACAAATGTATACCCTCAGCACATGTCATGAACTTTTGCGGGGGATGAACAAGAAAGTGTGGACCAACATATCCCATATTTTCATTGGATATTTTTGATAGAAGTATTGAGTGACACAAAGTTTGAAGAAAATAGCAGACCTGCTATTAAAAATGTGAACCCCTTGTAGCGGAGCTATCAGAAGGAGTGGGCCAATAAATCCCATATTCACAACAGATCTTGTGTTGGTCAAAATATTGGGTTGTGCCAAATTTGAAAAGAATCCGAGGTTCATTTTGTATTTTATGACCCTTTGGGGGGGAGGTTGGGAAGGACTGGTTTGATCTATTCCATTTTCAAACAAGATCTATAATTGGAAGATATACTGGGATATGCGAATTTTGAACACAATTCTTTCATATTTTATATGAGTTTCTTTATTCTAAATGTTGACACTTTGTGAGGAAAGTACCAGAAGCAATGGTCCAATATTGCCAATCTCCGAACACGAAATAAGTTTGACAATAATATTACGATGTACCAAATTTGGTTCAAATCGGATACTCCTTTCGAGAGCTATCGTCCACACCAGCCAGCCAGACAGACGGACGACGGACACAGAAGAGATATAGGGTTTAAAGTTTTTGGTACTACATGGATCAGGATCGAAAATTGAGAGTATTTGTCCACACATTCCTGTACCTCCCGTAAACGTACTGATAACTAATAAAAATTGAATCCATTATATTTTGCAAACGCATAGAAAATGCTAACATCTGGAATGATATTTTGGAAATATGAACAATATATATATATATATATGAAATACGCTATACGAGAAGTACTAAATGGTGTTAAATACATAGAAATAAGGTAGAACCCATTTCAAACTCTAACTACCAATTTTGAAATAATTTAGTGAAATAATGGAGCTAAACTCATCAAAATACCTAATATTGGGAGGTCCGCAACCGAAAGTAGAACCAAATACAAACTCCAAATTACAAACTTTTGCGGCGATAAATGTGGCGAAAATCATCAAAATACCGAATATTGAGTAGACATTAAATGGGGGCTATACAATGTAAAGACAATGTTCCGCCACCGGACGTAGAACCCATTACGAACCACAAATACCGAATTTTAAACAAATCTGATAGAAAATTAGGAAAAAATCCATAAAATATTGATTATCCGAAGTTACCGATGTAACGGGTACAAGTTAAAAGCAGTAAGTTCGGCCGGGTCGAACTTTGAATACCCTCCACCATTTGGAACGAATTTGGAAATAAAATCCTGAAAAAAACTTTGGTAAAACTTTAAAAAAAACCGAATATTGCCGTTATATTGGTGCCTATACGAAGTGGACCCACACAGACATTATTTGTCATGAGTCATTACCAAATTCAAATTCGGAACTTGAAATAAACGCGAATAATGTAGCTAAAATCATCAAAGTATAGAATATAGGGAGGTACCGTTATATCGGAGCTGTGCGAAGACCTGAACCTGCGTATACCATTTTTTTGTCATATTCTGTAGCATCCATTACGAACTTCAAATACGACATTTCAAACAACTTCGGTGAGTATTGTACCTAAACTCGTCAAAATACCGAATATAGGGAGGTACTGGTATATGGGGCCTATACGAAAACCTGGACCTGCATAGACAATTTTCTGTCACAGACTGGAGTTTCCATTACGAACTCTAAATGCGTAATTTGAAAAAAAATTGGTGAATAATGTCGCTAAAATCACCAAAATACCGAATATAGGGAGGTACTGTTATATGGGGGCTATACGAAGGCGTGGACCTGCACAGACAATTTTCTGTCTTAGGCTGTAGTATCCATTGCGAACTTCAAATACCAAATTTGAAGCAATTCCGATTAATAATGTCGCTAAAATCATCAAAATACCAAATATCGGGAGGAACAGTTACATGGGTGCTTTTTTCGAACTTCAAATACCAAATTTGAAACAATTCCGGTGAATAATGTCGCTAAAATCACCAAAATACCGAATATAGGGAGGTACTGTTATATGGGGGCTATACGAAGGCGTGGACCTGCACAGACAATTTTCTGTCTTAGGCTGTAGTATCCATTGCGAACTTCAAATACCAAATTTGAAGCAATTCCGATTAATAATGTCGCTAAAACCATCAAAATACCAAATATCGGGAGGAACAGTTACATGGGTGCTTTTTTCGAACTTCAAATACTAAATTTGAAATTATTCCGGTGAATAATGTCGCTAAAATCATCGAAATACCGAATATCGGGAGGTACCGTTATATGAGGGCTATATGAAAACGTGGACCTACATGGCCCATTTACGATCTTAACCTGCCTACTGAAAAAATAAACCTGTGTGCAAAATTTTAGCCTTGTATCTCAATTCGTTCGAAAGATAGCGTGATTACAACAGGCAGACAGACGGACAGACAGACGGACAGACAGACGGACGGACAGACAGACGGACATCACCAAATCGACTTAGAATTTTACGCTGATCAAGAATATATATACTTTGTTGGGTCTGACATGAGTATTTCGAGGAGTTAAAAACGGAATGACAAAGTTAATATACCCTCCATAGTATGGTGGAGGGTATAAAAACGTAAACTTGTATAGAAAATGTTATGCTGCAGGAGATACAACCTTTTTCAATCTCTAAATACCAAATTTTAAACAATGCAGTTAAGAAATGTGGTTACAATCATCAGAATACGGAATATTGGTAAGTACAGATATAATGCTTCTTAAGGTTTCCGCCCCAATTCGCAAACGTATAGTCTGACTCTAGTACCCAATATTGTCAAAGATATGGGATTAAAACGACGAGGCACTCAATGCACAAGTTTTATGCTAGCATCTTCATATTATCCTCACAACATTGTGGTACTGAGTAATAAAACGATAATTAATTGAAAAATTTCATTAAAATTAAAACAATTTTGTGTAAGAAGATAAGTTAATTAACAATTAAATCAAAGGTCAGATTAAAAGAAGATATCAAACTTTTAATAGCCCAACATAGTAAATTTGAGCAAAACTCCACAAATTTTAAAACTCAAACAATCTCTGTCATCAATCTCTTGAGTTATTCAAGAGAAGATACAACTCAGCGCATTCAAACTCATACTCACTCTCCAACAATGCAACATATGCGTTAGCAAATGTGATCGTGATTCGGTCACTTCAATTGGTGTTGTGATGGTCAGTTAACCTCCTTTTTGGGGAGAATGAATGAGCATATTTCCCTGGGACTGACTGTTTGTTGTTCGATCAATGTAGACATGGCCAGGTAAAATTACGTAAAATTCGTAAAAAAAAATAATTCAATTAAAAATTATTAACCAACAACAGCCGCAGCAACTAAATACAGAAGAGTAGCATCATCTTCAACGGCACAACCGGAGTACGAATTATGTACAATATGCATTATTTCCGAATTGCTTTGGCAATTTCCAGTTATAGTTTTTTTTGTCTTCAATGCTGTATCTAAAACCACTTCAACCACTACTTTTTTATTTTCTTCATTTGGTTGGAGGTTAAGTGGCCATCATCAAGTGGGGGATTCATTTAATTTGTTGTTGACTGTGTGCCTGTTCGTCCATGTCTGTTCATCGGTCTTAGTTGTTTCTCCGTCTGACGATTGGTCTGCCGATGGACAACAACTTTAGCCAAGTGTTGTGAAGAAGGTTAACTTGAAGATAACTTTTGAGTGCCAACCCAAAATAGGAATTATTAGTTTTGAATGTCTTCTCAAGTGTCATTGTAATTTAGAGGATTTTGTCTATTTAATTTAATTTTTCGTCGATGCCAGTGAAAACATATCGACTGTAGGAATATTAGACGAAGCCGGAGCAAAAATAAAATGTTAAAAGTCCTTGAATGCCCCGAAGCCCTGTGGCTACAGAGGGTATTTACCATTTGATAAGACCAAAATGTGTTTCATCAAAATAACGGGTATCAAGGTGTCTTTGGTTCCGTTTCAAGACATTTGGGGAGTAGCAAAGCCCAGACGAAACAGCAGAAGGTAGAATCTTGAAATTTTTGGTGAAAATTAATTAGAAGAATTGCAACATAAGACAAAAGTTTTTGAAATTCGTGCATAAAGGCCTGAAATTTACAAAAAGAAAAAAAAAACAAGTAAAAAAGCTGTAAGTTCGGCCGGGACAAACTTAATATACCCTCCACCATTTGGTAAAAATTTGGCAATTTTCAAAAAAATAAACTTCGTTAAAAATTCTGTTAAAATCTTAAAAATACCGAATGTAGCCGTATATTAGGGTCTATACGACGACGTGGACCTGCAAGGTAACTTTTGTCATAAGCCATTACAATATTCAAATACAAAACTTTTAAAAATCGGTGAATAATGTAGCTAAAACCATCAAAATACCGAATATAGGGAGGTACTGTTATATAGGGGCTATACGAAGACGTGGACCTGCACAGACAATTTTCTGTCTTAGGCTGTAGTATCCATTACGAACTTCAAATATCAAATTTGAAACAATTCCGGTGAATAATGTCGCTAAAATCATCAAAATACCGAATATCGGGGGGTACCTCTATATGGGGCTATACGAAGACGTGGACCTGCACAGACAATCTTCTTCCATAGTTTGTAGCATCCATTACGAACATCAAGTACCAAATTTGAAACAATTCCGGTGAATAACATCGGGAAGTATCGTTATATAGGGGCCATACGAAAACGTTAACCTGCACACACAATCTCCTTACGAACATCAAATACCAAATTTTAAAGAATTCCAATGAATATTGTCGCAAAAATCATCAAAATTCCGAATATTGGTAGGTACTGTTATATGAAGGCTATACCAAAACGTGGACCTACATAGTCCATTTTCAATACCAAAAGTCCTGCAGGCATAGTATACATTTGAGTAAAATTTTATCAATCTACTGGTTAGTACTTTCGCACATTGTTAATACGTATTTCCAAAACCACCTCCATATTTCAATCCTAGTCGTCAGCAGTAATCGAAATATAAAATTTCACGGTTTCAGCTCTAAACCTTCATCGAATATTAAATTTAGTACTATTTTGTACTTTTAGTACAAATATAGTACACATTTCCAAAACTACCTCCATATCTTAATACCAGATACCAACAGAGATCTCAATATCAAATTTGAAGATTTTGGCCCATTCCTTCACCCAATACCTAATTAGTACCATTCAGTACATTTCGTACAATTAAAGTACACATTTCTGAAACCACCTCCATATGTCCAGTCTAATACCAAATGCTATAATTTTAGAAGTTTATAAGCCTTTTAGTTCGAATTTTCAAAAACCCTTTGATAAATCCGTCCTGATAATCCATCCTGCATTTCATCAGTGACTCTCATTCCAAATTCTAGCTCATTTCCTTTTTTCAATACAAAGTATTCGAATTTCCAAAACCCAGCCTTCCAAAAACCTACCTACGCTGACTATTTCACCACTCTTTTATACACGTAGATTGTGTCCCTTTTTGGGGAGATACCCATAGGAGAGGACCAATATGTCCCATACCAAATTTCAGTTCTTCACGCCAGATTTTGTGTTAATAGAAATATTGGAATATGTGAAATTTAGAAAGAATCATATGCTTATTTCACATTTTATGAATATTTGAAATTTTAACCCTTTGTGGAAAGGTACTAAAGGAGTGCTCCGATATATTTCATCTTCACAACAGATCTTGTGCTGTTGGATATTGAGATGTACCGAGTTTGAAAGGAATCGAATGCCCATATCGCGTTTTATGAGCTTCGTGGTTATCCAAAATTTTGACCTTTTGTGGGAGAGGAATCAGAAGGAGTTGTCCGACGTATTCCATCTTTATGCCGGACATAAAGTTCCTAGAAACGTTGGAATATGCGGAATTTGAAGACAACTGGACTCTTATTTCACATTTTATAAGCGTTGTTAACCTTTGTGAGGGAGGTACTTTGTGGAGTGGGACGATATTGACCTTTTTTGCACCTTATCTAGCACTGATACAAATATTAACCAGTAAAGAAAGTCTTAAAGTCGGGCGGGGCCGACTTTATGATACCCTACACCACTTTGCTAATTTAGTAGAGCTCCACATAACAATTAAAAGTTTTTATGGGAGAATTCAATCATACACGCTATGATTATAATTATAATTTAAAGTTCAAAGGACTAAACATGCCGAAGCATTTGTATCTTTTAAATTCGGACTTGTATTGCCCATTTGGTGCACAATTAATTTGAAATCGGATAAAGATATATATGTGAGCTATATCCAAATCTGAACCGATCTCGATAAAATTTGGCAAAGATATTTCTGAGCTGTATTTGATATATTTCCCTGAATATCTTTGTTACGGAGTGCATATTACGGTTGTGGGTAACAAATATAACAAATCGGATGAATAATATATATGGAGGCTATAGCTATATCTGAACCGATGTTCACCAAATTTGACATGCTACCTTCTAGACTCAATTCGGTCGTATGTGCCAAATTCCATCCCATTTGGACAAATATTAGACGTTTGGTGCACAATAAAAGGTAAATCGGCCGAAGTTATATATGGGAGCTATATCCAAATCTGAACCGATGTCGATAAAATTTTGCAAATGTATTTCTGAGCTGTATTTGATATATTTCCCTAAATATTGTTGTTGCTGAGTGCATATTACGGCAGCGGTGGACAAAAATAACAAATCGGATGAACAATATATATGGGAGCTATAGCTATATCTGAACCGATTTCGATCAAATTTGGCATACATATTTTCAGGCCTAATTTGGTTGTATGTGCAAAATTCCATACAATTCGGGCTGATATTACACGTTTGGTGCACAATAAAAGGCAAATCGGACGAAGATATATATGGGAGCTATATCTAAATTTTGACCGATTATCTCAATAGGGTTCGTCCTTGGGCCAAACAAATGATCTGTGCAAAATTTCATCTGGATCGGGCAATAAATGCGACCTGTACTTTGTTTACAAAAATACATGGACAGACGGACGGACGGACGGACAGACGGACGGACGGACATGCATAAATCGACTCAGAATGTGATTCTATGCAGATCATCAAAAGGAACTATGGGTCTATCTCGTTTCCTTTTGCCTGTTACAAACAAATGCACAAAGACATAATACCCTGACCACCTTGTGGTGTAGGGTATAATTAGGGGTTGCAATTTGTGAACACAATCGGATGATCCTTTCTTCTTTAAAAATGTTGACTTTTTGTGGTGGAGGCACTAGAAAGAGCAGACTGATACTGCCGATCTCGACCTAAGGTTGATAATAATATTACGATGCATAAAGTTTGGTTCAAATCGGATACCCCCTTCAAGAGTTATAGTGCGTACAAGCCAGACAAACTGACGGAAAACCCTAGATCGACTCCAAATGTCCTGAAACGAATTTGGTTCAAAGAGACCTAGGGTCTAAAACCATTTTTCAATAAGGCACATTTTGACAGTATCAAATGATATACACCCTCTGTAGCCAACTGCGATACTTGTTTCACTAACTAAGCTACTGTTACACAAAATAATTATGGCATCTCCCCTCTTACTCTCAGCCGCTATCGGAGTATGGCAACTCGAGAATTCATGACATGTGGGATTTAAAAAAAACATTGGGCAGGCGTGATTGTTGGAAACATTTCTGGAAAAGTGCATAAAAATTAAATTAAAACTCCACATTAAGAAAGTGAAGCGTAAACTACTGGTTGGAAAGTACAAGGCCAACTTGACATTTTTAGAGGAATTTTCGAATAAGTGTAAATAAATTAAGAAACAAAAAGATGGAAGCCGAGAACGGAGAGGGACAAGTTCAGGTGCATTTGAAAACAAAACAGGAACAGTAAGTATAAGACATGATGATGGGTTTTGGATGATATTAAATGTGATTTTTGCCACAGATATGGTGTACCCGATGTTCCCTATTCCATTGATGCCACAGTGGCCACCACCGAGCTGAATACCTTTGTCAATACATTGCTGGAACAAACCTCCACAGATGACAGCCATCGTACGGTGGAATTTGATTTTTTGGTATTCGATGAATATTTGAGAGGGAGACTTTGTGATCATTTGCGCGAAAAAGCCATTTCCTTTGAAGACGCCATTGAAATTGAATACGTCGAGAGATTTCCAGCACCTGAACCACAAGATTGTTTGCTACACGATGATTGGGTATCGGCTGTGAAGACATGTGGCAAATGGGTGCTGACAGGCTGCTATGATAACACCATCAACATTTGGACCATCAAGGGAAAACATGTTCTTACAATACCCGGTCATTCGATGCCTATAAAAGCTGTGTCTTGGGTGTCACTTGACGAAGAGCGGGGCAAATTTATTTCATGCTCTCAGGATCAGACCGCCATGCTGTGGGAATGGATGGTGGAAACAAATTCCGTGGAATGTGTATCGGTTTGTAAGGGCCATGAACGTGGCATTGATTGTGTTGATGTTAGTCCGACTAAAGATCGATTTGCCACTGGGTCTTGGGACACAATGTTGAAAATATGGTCGGCGGAAATTAATGAAAGCGCAGAGGGATCAACGAAAAAGGCGAAGCTGGAAGGTGGTTCTACAAGGGTATGTAAAGGTTTTATAGTAAAATGGAAGAGGGTGGGAGGGGAAGATTGTCTCACAACATAACATCAAAATGTAGTCAGGGTTTTAACAAAGCCTTTACAGAAATGTTTCGCTTGGTTTTAGGGTATTTAAGGCTCCTAGCAATGTTTATCAAAATTCCTGAAATTCGAAGTCACCTATACATGAATAAATAAGTGAAACCAGTGAAAATACTTAATAGTTTGGCGTGGCCCCGCTAAAAAATACCTATTTTTTAGTTAATTGCAAATGTTGTTTAAAACGAGATTAGAAGCTCCAGCGGTGATAGATTCAATATAATGTGAGGTCCGAGGTGAATGACAAATTCAATGTTTCCTTCATATTGAGGTGGAGGTTTAAGTATAAACATAAATTTATGATTTGTGCCGCGTGCCCTTTTAATATATTTTTCAAAATTGTTGGATGTAAGCAAAATATATTCAATATTGGTACCGGTTCTTTCATGACTAAAATTTCAGATAAATTGAAGTTCTTTGCCACTTTCCCCTATCTATTTTGCTATAATTTTGAGCAGAAAAAAACTGCAACAAAGTCGAAAGTCATATTTTTTACACTCTTTTTAAATTTTTTTTTGCTTGCTTGAGGTGATCGACGCTTTGGTATTTTTTAGTGCCAACCTTACTTTCAAAATACTCCACACACACTAGTCCAACCGATTGGTATCCGGATTTATTTGGCATTTATTGTGATGCCACGGTCGATTAATACGAGCGTAGAGCGACCGACGGCTGTTATGGCGGCCACACCATCACCATGGCCGGCGCTTGAGTTCTGGTGGACAACCAAAGGTGCACATTTTCATCTGACCTCTTTGGCAAGTAGACACGATCATTTTGTTTGTTTGCAAACTGTTGGACAACGAATGTTTTCTCATCGGAGAAAACCAAATTCGGCAGTTCACCACTTTCGACCAAGAGGAAGCAACTCTTTAGCTCTTTTGAGTCTATTTTCTTTCAGTTGCGTTGTTAGTTCTTGCACTTTTTTGGAATTTCAATGGCTTTACCCCGAGTTCATTTTTCAATATTTGCCGAATGGAATATTGCGATATGTTCAGCTCACGAGTCATTTTCGGCCACTGCGACGGGGGTTTCGATCACGTCGCTTCTTTACTTTTCGAAGTATATCTGCTGATATTGATGTAATACTGGAGTGTTCTAACGATAACTTTATGTACGCTTGTAAACAATATAATGAGCTGTCACTGGAATAATTTTAACAGCTGTCGGACGAGTGGCTTAGAAATGACAGCAGTCTGAAATTGATTGCAGTTTTTTCATCTCACCCTGTATATATAAAAGCTAAACTTATTATCATTTTTTATTTCCCCCTTACAGACACCCATCATGACATTGCAAGGCCATCGTGAATGCATTTCAGCCGTCCAATGGATGGACAAAGACACCCTGCTGACAAGCAGTTGGGATCACACAATGAAAGTTTGGGATCTAAATATGGAGGGTATTAAAACAGAGATTTCTACAAATAAGTCAATTTTCGATGCTAGTTATTCCAATCTGAATCATCTCATTGTCACCGCATCGGCTGATAAGAATATAAGACTTTATGACCCGCGAACAAACCGTAAGTACAAAATATATTTTTTTTAAAAAAATATGTATAATTTGTATTATTTTTTCTTGAAACTACAGATGGTTCGGTGGTTCGTAACACCTACTTGGGTCATCAGCAATGGGTCGAAACAATTATGTGGTCAACAACAGAGGAATATCTATTTGTTTCGGGATCATATGATAATCAAAATAAATTATGGGATTGTCGTAGGTAAGTTTAAAGCCTTCAATTTAAATCTATTGAGTATTTTTAGAAGAGATGAAAGAAAAACTTGATACTATAATGTTTTGTTTTAATTTCAAAAATCAATAAAGCAAGACGCAGCTTTATTACAATTTATTGCTTTAATTAATTGTATTTTTTTTATTTCTTTTTAGCCCCAAAGCTCCACTATACGATTTAATTGGCCATGGTGATAAGGTCTTGGACATTGATTGGTCAAATCCAAAATATATTGTATCTGGTGGTTCGGATAACACCGTACGTGTCTATAAGTCACGTAAAGCTGTAAACGGCGGCAGTAAAATGGAAACTGGAAAGTAACTGCAATTCCTCACAGAATCCCTCGCTAAAAAATAACTAAATGTACAAACAATACACAATAACCACAATTCTAAAGTAAAATATTTTCCGCGAAAATATTGGCAAACAACTTTATGGACTTGACTAAGGACAGGACTACATTTTTTGAGATAATAATTGTTTTTTATGAATACACATGTATAGAAAAATAATAAATGGACATAATCCTAAGGCAATGTATACTTATTTCTCCATATTTTTGTTTTGGGAAGGACGCTGCAGATTTTTCAAGTCTGGCATCATTATTTATTTATTTATATTCCAAGTCGGAGATTTACTTTGAAAAACGAAAATAAAAAATATAAATATTACGCACGTTGCGTTTTGTCGTCGATTTTAAACATTGTTTCATCGATTTTAAATACTTTTTCGGAAGCCTCCATTTATTAAAACAGCAATATGTAAATCTTGAGCCGATAAGATCCCATGTATATTTGTTTATATGCAAATTAGTTTAGTAGACCGCAAGTTCGAATCTTGAACCGTGAAGAAATCGTAAGAACTCGGTATATTGTAAAAAGTAGTTAAGGCATCCAACTAAATAAAATTTGGCGGTAGCAAAAATCTCCTTCTCCTCTAGGAGAAACCGGAAAATAATGTGATTGACATACATCCCAGAGCTTGAGCCGTGTGGCAAATGTTTGCTGACAGAGTGCTATGATAACTCCATAATTTTGAAGGGAATTCGATGCCTGGTGACGAAAACGGTGCAAGTTTATTTCATGCTCTCAGAACCAGACTGCAATGCTGTGGGAATAGTTGGCGGGAACAAATTCTTTGGAATGTGTATCGGATTGTAAGGGTCATGAACGTTAGTCCGAGTTAAGATCGTTTTGCCACCAGTTCAGGGACAGAAATATGGTCGGCGGAATTAAATGAAAGCGCTGAAGTATCAACGAAAAACCCAAAGTAGATATACAATGGTATTAAAAGGTTTTAAGTAAGGTTAAGGCTGAAGGAGAATATATTGTCAAAACAAATCTTTGAAATGCGTAGATTTTGGAGACACAAAAGTATCACCAAAAGCTTGGCCTGTATTGAAATTTTAAAATATTGTATTACGGCCATAGAAACAAACACCTATAACCAGGTGTTGTGGTAAATCAAACGTTGGTTAGTTAAATTTAAATCGTTTCAAATAAACAACTCGATTTTGAGAGGATCTTAATATAATATTCAATTATAAATTCGGACTTAGACATTTTCCAATTCCAATTTTTTCCGCTTAAACTTAGGAAAATTAGAGATAAAAGTATTCACTTCACAAAAGCAAAAATGAAACGAGGTTCACACCGAGCTAAAATTAAGGTCACGCTGAGCCCTTTCTAAATGCAGATAGATGTTAATACGCAAAAACAGACATTTTCTGAAAAATTATTAGCTAACCTAAGAGAAGTTACGGAAATTACAGATAAATTGAACCACTGTACCGAAACTAAAAATGAAGCTGAGTGAAGATCCATCTCAGATTAAAATTTGTCTGAGAATCCTTTCCAAATATGAGGAAAGCATTTATAGATGGTCCAAAGACTTGAGGATTTTTCGAATTCTTAAAGGAAATTGCATATAAAAGCGTTCACTTTATAAAAAAAAGAAAAGTCTCGGTGGCTATTTCCAGCAAATAGAATTCTAGACATATAGCCTTTTCTAATTCTCTGAAAATGTATCGCTCGAATTTAGGATGCTTGCAGATTAACGGGTTCACTGTACAGAAACTAAAAACGGCATGGGGTTCAGATCGAGCTCAAATGAAGGTGTCAGGGAGTAATTTCCTAATATAGGCTTAAAGTCGCACCAGCCATTTTTTCGAATATGTTGCAGATTATGGAACACACTAGATTGTCTAGAATTTGTAAGAATGTAAAAATGTTACCACGATTACCGATTTTTCCTTTCTGATACCGAAAAAAAACTGCAGGATCAGAAAAAGTTAAAAAAATTTCTTCTAATATTATTGGCCTGTTCCAGAACTGCAAGAATATTCAAGTTTTTACTACCAAAACCAAATTTCCCTTTATGATATTGGAAAAAGAATGCAAAACTAGTAGATTTTTGCAGGTTCTTGCAGCAAACCATTTGAAAACCACTTTAATATTGATATAATTGAAAGGACGGACAACTTACACATAAATTTACGTTTTGACTTGAATCCGCTTCCGCTGACATTGATCTTTGACGACACTGTTTATCGCGTTCGTTTAAAATCACTTTTATGGAATAAAAAGTTTTGTATGAAACACTTCTCAGAATTTAATGAACCACATTAATTTGATTTTGAATCAACAATATTATTTAACAGCATTTTGAAAAGCACGCGTATTTTAAGAAGCTTATTTAACAAAGAACACAATAATTTAAGGGTTTAAACATCGATTCTAAGAACCACAATTTTTCACGTAAACTAACGAACTTCGAAATTTCATTAAAAACCCGTTGATGTACGATAAATATAAAACACGAAATTCCTATTAGTATCCGACCAACACAACGAAATGTTCTATACGTAAATTCTTATTTGAATGTTCTTCCATTGTCAATTTGTATTAAATTTAATTTAATAGATTTCTTTGCAAATTTATTCGTACAAATTATGACTAACAAAATAATGTTTGATGTAGTTTTATTATTTGCCGAAATTAACGTAGTATTTATTATTATTTATTTAGCATTTTTTTGCATTAAAATATCACAATTTCCCGTGCAAACAATATTGCGCGCGCTTTTTTCACTAAAAACAAAGTCGAAAGTAAAAACTTTAAACGTCTGTTATAAACTCCGACTGCGACGAGAGAAAACGTAACCGGCAGTGAAGTTAATGAAACCGTTATTCGAGACAATATTTTCGGGGGATTTTACTAGGTTTTTCATTAGTTATTTTACTGAATTTTATATATTCACTATTCCATAAATGTTTATTGACACTTTTCAATATTTTATATGACTTAGAAGGCACAATTTTTTACGAAAACTTGTTAGAAAGACAAGAGCACAAAATGACGCGACCGGGACCGAAAGAACGATAACTGAGTACTAAATATGTCGTTCACATATTTATCGATAACTGAGATGTATGGCAGTGGTGTTGAGAGAAGGCTACTTCAATAGTTTAAGTAGTTGTTTGCTATTAATTTTTTGATTTTTTCTGTTACTTTTAATGCAATGTATTGCAATTAGGTACTTATTGTAATCACTCGAATGTAAAAAAATATTTTATTGGGATTAATAACTTTGGAAATCTTTTAATGTCTATGGTTATTTATCGTTATTATGCTTTTTTATATTTCGTGTCTCCATAAAACGGCCATAGTTTAATATGTTTTTATTACACTTCCCGAAAATAATCATTTCTTTTTACACACTTCATGAAAACGGAAAACAGTTTCTTTTTTTTGGGCAGGTTACCTTTTCATGATGAACAATGGAATTGACACTTCCGTTGGTGCACTTTTTTCTCAGAGAATAAAGTTGAACTGGCGTTCACGAACGGCGTGAGAGTATTGCCTGACGGCGGAAATCGAAAGTACAACACCAGCTATGAAATCCAACGAAACCGTTAACCGAAAATATAATATTTTTACAGCAATTTTTTAAGATTTTCAATAGTTTTTCGTATATAATTTCATTTTCCCACCGATTCGGTAGTATTTATTTACACTTTGCAAAAGATTTTATAACTTAAAACACAGTATATTTCATATAATTTGTCAAAAACACTCGCAATGAACGGAACCACGAAACAACGAACTAAGATCACCGATACTAACATTGTAAACGGCGTAGCACAATGAGATATCGACAACACAGTGTTGCATTTAAATGGCGTAGAATGATTGTTTAAAAGAGATTAAAATGGAAAATTGTAGGAATTTGATTGTTAATACCGCATAAGTAAATACGTTAATGGTGATGGATAGCATATGTGTATACACATCATATATATCAATGTTAGTTTTCTGGTTGTTTTAATTCATCATATTTATTGTAATCACGCGAAATTGAACTATTATTTCATTGAAAATAATAGTTTCTGTAATGCTTTTAATACTATAATTTTTAATTCGTTGGTATTTTTCCTTATATATCTCTTCTCAATAAAAAACGCATGTCATAATATGTTGTTTATAAATAAATACCACTTCTCGAAAATATTATTTCATTTCATCTTTGAAATGGAAGAATGGTTTCCTTTGCGAGATGAACAATGACATTGACACTTCCGTTGGCGCACTTTTTTCTCAAGGAACAAAGTCGAACTGGCGAAAACGAACGACGTGAGAGTAATACCTGACGGCGACATTCGAAAGAAAACACCAGCTATGAAATCCAACAAAACCGTTAACCGAAAAGAGAATATTTTTAACATCAATTTTTTAAGGTTTTCAATAGTTTTTCGTATACAATTTCATTTTCCCACCGATCCGGTAATATTTATATATAATTCGAAACAGTTTTCAGAACATAAAACACTGTAAATATTCAAGAATTCGGTTATGTGGCGTTTCCACTACACTTGATTCGCTCTCTATTCTTTGTTCGACCCTTAACTATGAAAAAACTACTTAATTCTTCACACAAAATTTCCTGAGCGAACACTTATATTTGTACATTGTTCAAATCAAATCACTCTCCGAACAACGAAAAAATATGTCCCATACCTAACAAATGAGAGCATTTATCGAAAAAATAAATTATGACATTTAAAAATTAAAACTAGAAAAATTTAATGAAATTTTAAAAATTTTTGGGAAGACTGAAAATTATGAATGAAAACTACAATGTTGAATGTCGTATGTACATTCAAACGAAAGTACATTTTGTTTTCTCTTTCATTCGAGGTACGCATTTTGTCCACGAGTTGAAATTTCCACAGAAAACCGCAAACAAAAGAGCAATATTTTCAAAATGTTTGTATCGGCAGAAAAAAATTTTTGACAAGTGTCTCTCCAGCAGAATTTAAAATTAAAAAAATACAAAAATATGTTCAAAATGTCAATATTTACACAAAAACTTGAAAACATGAATAAAAAATGTAAAATTAATGATATAATTATTCTTTGGAAGAAAAACAATAATTTCTTCTATTCATATTAGTGAGAATTTCATGTATTTTTGTATAAATTCCCATTCAAATCAACAAACAAAATTTGTGAAAAAAGGAATTATTTTACTATGAATTACGAATCGTGCCGTATGAACGGGTTAATTCGTGTACCTAATTCTGAGAGCGAACAACGTGATTGAAAGTGTAATGAGAACATAGCATTAGAACACGCACAATTAATACGACCACGACGCAACGAACTAAGATCACCGATAACTAAAATTGCTAACGGCGCTGCACAGTGAAATATCGATAACCAAATGGTTGACGAGGGCTGATTGTTGGTTGGTTGGCAATACTTTTGAAGAAACAACTGTGGCATCTTGCCGGCAGAGAACATACACTCAACTAGTTCCGGTGTTCGTTTTCAATGAATTTCCAGCTGATTTCATTTTTTTCTTTTTGTTTTTCTCCCCGCATTCGTAAACTTTTTTTTATCGGGCATTACGCGTTTTCAGTGTTTTACTTGATCAAAAGCTAAGTCGTTCCGTTTGTTTGTGTGTTGGAAAATGCTGGAAAACGAAGCAAATCAAGAGGTAAAGGAGGAAAAAGTTGTTTTTAAAAAGAAACAACGTAAAAATCTGAGACAGAGAAGAAATTCCGATGACGAGCCCGAAGAGGAACCGTGAGTAGATAAAGCCGTACTCTTATTGTGATGTCTTATAAATAAATATCATTTGTAGGGTCCCGTTGGCCGACATCAAGGAAAGACAGAAGCTACGCGAACGTCCACATGGCGTCAGCGTCATTGGCCTAGCATTGGGCAAAAAATTGGCCCCAGAGGAGGAAATCACCATAAAAGATCCCTTCAATGTCAAGACCGGTGGTCTGGTGAATATGCATGCTTTGAAATCGAGTAGCCTCAAAGAGGCTGAAGAGGATGCCTACGATGTGGGGATTGGTACGAAATTCTCTGCCGAAACCAATAAACGTGATGAAGACGAGGAAATGATGAAATACATTGAACAGGAGTTACAAAAACGTAAAGGTCTTGCGCAGGCCACAACAGAAAATGAAACAGCAACAGATGCCCAGAAATATTTAACACCAGAAGAGGCTGCTCTCTATGCCTTACCTGATCATTTGCGACAATCATCTTCACATCGTTCCGAAGAAATGTTATCCAATCAAATGTTAAATGGCATACCCGAGGTGGATTTAGGCATCGATGCAAAAATTAAAAATATCGAAGCAACTGAGGAAGCAAAACAGAAGCTCCTGCAAGATCAAAAGAACAAAAAGGATGGCCCGTCACAGTTTGTGCCAACCAATATGGCAGTTAATTTTATGCAGCACAATAGATGTATGTGCGATTGTATTTTGATTACTGGTGTTGTATATTTTAAAGTGCGTTTTTTTTTTTGCATTTCTAGTTAATATTGAGGAGAACAATGATGCCCAAAAGAGACGTTTCCATCAAAGAAAAGCTGCCGAAGAGGGTCATGTAAATCCCAATAATCAAGTGGGTGTTAACGGGGTTAAGCGAGCCACAGACGATTACCATTATGATAAATTTAAGAAACAATTTAAACGTTATTAAATATAGGTTGCATTTATTTTTACTTGGAGGAAAGCGTTCAAAAAGTTTTTAACCTGAGCCATGGTGTAAAGTTCATCAGAATGCCCGGCAGGGACCGTTCCTATAAAAAAGTATGAAAGACTTAAATTCCAGATGTGGCGAACTTATACCAATTTAATTAAGAATTATACCTTCAATTAGAATTAAGAGGGTAACCTCATTTTAAATAAGCGTATACAACTCTGCATTATCTAGTCAAATTTAACTGAACAAAAACCCACGTAACCTTCTTAATTCTACCAAAAGGGAAATGAAACAAATATTTTCAGCAAAATAAATAAGTGTGAATTAACACTTAACAGCTCTTTATAGTGGCTAAGCATAAACCGTGGGTTTACACAAGACAAATTGTCTTGAATCAGAGTTATATTTCACTTTCGAGCGTTTTTTTTTCAATGAAAAGAACCGCTGTTGGATTCTAATTGTATGAAATAAGAAAAATATTTCCTTTGCAAGGTTTTCCATTTGACAAATCAATATGAAAAAATCGTAAATATATGATTGCACAAGGTTACATCCTTAATTCTACTATGGTGTTAGAAAATTAATCCTACAAATAAGGAAGAAAAACAGTTAAATATTACTGAAAACTAAAACAAACTCCTCAATGTTACGTCCTTGTAACATTACATTGCTGTATTAACGATAATACTTAGTTTTTTTGTCGACTTTTACCCGCCTCTCAACAACACTCTCGCTTTTTGGATCGTTGTTAACCTGTGTTGCTTTATTATAAGCTCTCCAAAATCATTGCATTTTCTGGTAAAGTCGTTACAAAAAATCTTTTTATTAATTAATATTCAAATCCAGTGAATTTAAATTGTCAATTCCATCATGTATACGAATAAAACCTTCTTAAAGATGGCTTACACTTGCTTCGATGTAAACATGTTATAATTTCCACTACATAACGGCGTTACCCACAGGTTCCTGACTTCATCTCATCTCTCATTTTCTCTCTCCCTTCATTCTCATTACTTCTTTTCTTGTCGATAAATCTAAATTAATCGATTGTTCGCTCGAGTCGGCCTAGGTAACCCTACTGTTTTGCGAAAAAAATCAAAGCGTTCTTGAAGGAAAGGAATTGGTTTGTGAATTAATTAAACGAGGAAAATATAAAAAAATAAAATTTAAGTGATATAAAAACCGATTCCATTTCATTAAAAGTAAGCGAAAATCTCTTACACACTATAATACAATTAATAAATCACGTAAAAAAAATTAAATAAGAAGTGAACAAAAAAAAAAAAAAAAGAAAGAAAAGTGTAAGCGGCAATACACGACAGGCGTTAGTGACGGCAGAGGAAAAAGAAATATAATAGAAAACTGATTTTCCCAAGGAATTTTCCTTGTCATTGATTGAGAAATTTTGCAAATCTATTGTTAAACTAATGAAAGAAGTGAAAAATATTTGAAGTGCCTTGAGTAATTCTAGAAAATAGCAATTCTGTTATACTGAAATTTTTGCCGAAATGTGAGTGAGCAAATAAAAGCAACGAGCTAGGCAGGCAGGCAGGCCACAAACAACGCCAGCACAAAGAACTTCATGTGAAAAATTGTCGATGCCCTTGTTGTTGTTGGTGTTTTTTTTTTTGCTGCTGTTGGTTGGTTTTTATGGTGACTACGACGACGATGACAAGAGCAGAAGAGTTTGGTGATATGGAATGGTTGGATGACCAACCAACCAACCATTCCTGGCAAATGCATTGGCATATTTTCTTCAATGCCATCACTGCCATTTTGCATTGGAAAATTGTGCAATTTTCCGAAAAGAGTTTTTCTTGCTTGGTTTTGTTTTGTACATCTCAATGTGTGCGTGTGTAGGTTTAAACACTATTGGTCGTAATTGTTCTTCTGCCGCATTGTATTTTAACAGCCTATTTTTGCCGAGTGTTTAGGAGATGGTGTAGTGTGCTTTTTGTTGTTGTTGCGGCTGCTGCTACTGCTAGAGTTGTCTGATGTATGTTTTTTGTTGTTGTTTGTCTCTGTTCGTGGCTTGCTACTACTACTCTGTGTACTGTGTTGTGTTTCGTCGTTGAGTGTTTGCTGGCGGCTGCTGGCTAGCTGTATGTTTTTGCAGTGTTTTTAATACCCAAAATGGCCGCTAAAGAAAAAGCCGTGTTCAGTGATTTTTTGTTCTGTTAAAGGAGGAATTTCATCATCATTAATTAACCTTTTGTTGTGGCCGGGCCACTCTCTTCGATGCACAAAATGTGTGAACAATTTATATCGAGAATCGCATAAAATGGCAGGGGCAAATGGAATCGCAATGGGGTTTGGATTATGATTTTATGGCGATTTCTGTTTAATATCCGATTCATTGATGCGTTGTTGTATCTTGTTGTTTTGTAGAGCTTTGTGCTTTTCTGAGAAAGATCAAAGCGCCTTAAACTAGGCAATGATTTCTTGTATTGTTATTACCTAATCGGCGGGTCCAATGAAGAAGTATCTAATTATACCTTGCACCATTAAATCGGAGATCGCATTAAGCAAATATATTCATGATCAGCGTAAATTTTTATGTTAAGCCGGAATCAGGGTAAAAATACCTGCCTCGGGGGAAAAAAATTCGAAAAAATCGACCACTTCCGAGTGATAGAGAAACACTACTCCGGGCAGATTCAACAAAACTGGCTAAATAAAAGAGGACACAACGTCTCGAAGGCAATTTGGCCAACACTCTCCCGGAAGAGAACAAGGTCGCCTATGTCCATGTCGAAGGAAAGACGACGGCCACATTTATCACCACATGAACTGCGGAGATGTGGCTTTCATTGAATGGTGTTGTAATTCAGCCCACCAGCTACCCCAGACTCAGAATTTCCTTCCAAATCCTCTCAGTTTCAATGAATTAAAGCTAAAAAAAATTTTTTTGAACATTATTCTTAACATTTTTTTCTGTCTTATTTCAGCATCAAACTTAAATCACTGTTCTAAACGTGATCCACCGACTTTCGTCCCTGTTTTGATACGAACAGACCACTATGTCATCATCGACAACGACAAGTGGTGGTACAGCGACATCTAACAGCACTGGAACATCATCGTCGTCGGCAGCAACAGCGGTCGGTCTTGTTGCCAATTCCTCAACAGCTTCAACAGGCACTGCCAATAATATGTCTGCAACTAATAATTCGTCAGCAAATACAGCAGCCGCAGCAGCTGCTCGTGGCCGCAATGGCAATACATTGCAACCAGGTTCACTACCATCCGCAGCATCGGGAACTGGAGCAACAAATGCTGCTGGTGGCGGCGGTGGTGGTGTTGGATCTTCAGCAAATTCCTCAGCGGCCACAACAAGCGAAGAGACACGCAAAGATCCAAAACCCAATCCGAAAATCTCCAAAGCTTTGGGTACATCAGCCAAGCGCATACAAAAAGAACTTGCCGAGATCACGCTGGATCCACCGCCCAACTGTAGTGCCGGTCCCAAGGGTGATAATCTCTATGAATGGGTATCGACAATTCTCGGACCACCCGGCTCCGTGTATGAGGGTGGTGTTTTCTTTTTGGATATTCACTTTTCACCCGAATATCCCTTTAAACCTCCTAAAGTTACGTTCCGTACACGTATCTATCACTGTAACATCAATAGTCAGGGTGTTATATGCTTAGATATATTAAAGGATAATTGGTCTCCAGCATTGACCATCTCCAAGGTATTGCTGTCAATTTGTTCCCTGCTGACTGATTGTAATCCTGGTAAGTGGAGCATTTTTTTGTTGATGTACTTATTTGTAACCTATTTGCGTGTTTGTTTTTCTTTGTAGCCGATCCTCTGGTTGGCAGTATTGCCACTCAATATTTACAAAATCGAGAAGAACATGATAGAATCGCTAGACTGTGGACAAAGAGGTAAATGCACAAGGAAGACTTATTGTGTTAATGTTTTAAGTGGCTTTAATGTGGGACAGCTTAAATGCCTTTTCGAAGGTTTGGAACTATATAAGGCTGTTTTAAGCCCATACGGTTCAGAACGGTTCGAAAAAGGCAGTTTTAAGTACCAAACGGTTGAGAAGTTGCATAATTGGAAGTTCAAAACTCCATTTGGAGATCTTATAAGACATATCGATACTAAGACATTTTTGGAATTTGTCCATCTTTCTTCCAAATTTATCTAAACTTTTCAGAATACCTAAAGTCGGTCTGCAGTTCAGAACTATAAAATTTTGAGTAAAATAATAGGGACATTTCATTTTCGGAAAATTGGCAAATCTTAGGGGGCCATAAAATAAAGGATATATAAAATTTGTCACTCGAAACATTCTTCGAAGGTTAATGCCCGTCTGCACGGCTGTTGGTTGATCCGGCAATTTTATAGATAGAGCTGTAAAATTTAAAAGTATTTAAAATAGGTCCACCTTTTGGTATACTCTAAGGTTACGACACCAAGGTTATCAATCAAAGCAGCTGTCATTCTTGTGGTTAGATTAGAACTGCAACATTTAAGGGTTTTAAGAATAGACGATGTGGTCATACAGGGTGAGATAAAAAAACTGCAACCAACTTCAGACTGCTGTCATTTCCAAGCCTGTCGCCCGTCAGCTGTTAAAATTATTCCAGTGACAGCTCATTATATTGTTTACAAGCGTAGGAAAGCATTTTGGTGAGAATTTTCCAGAAAAAAAGTTATTCGTGATGGAATTCAAGCGTGATATATTTGGCTGGAAAACCACAAGTGGCTATCGTCAAATCTCGTACCATCGCTCGTTACCGTGATACAGGTAGCGTAGGCCGACGTTAAGGAAGTGGACGGTAGAAAACAGCAATATCAGCAGAAATGGTTTGAAAAGTAAAGAATCGACTTAATCGAAACCCGCGTCGCAGTGGTCGAAAAATGGCTCGTGAGCCGAACATATCGCAATATTCCATTCGGCAAATATTGAAAAATGAACTCGTGGTAAAGCCATTGAAATTCCAAAAAGTGCAAGAACTTACACCGCAACAGAAAGAAAATAGACTCAAAAGAGCTAAGGAGTTGCTTCGCTTGGCCGAAAGTGGTTGTTGTTGTTGTTGTTGTAGCAGCTCATACATCTGTGTTCGTTTGGTTTCCATTTTCTGACTCAGTTCAATCGGGTTCTGCCTCTAAGTCCAGTCTCAAAAAGGATGCAACCTGTATGGGTTGTGTCCATAACGAGACGAGTTAGGTGAGTAGGCTTGGCTGGGCAGCGAAATAAGTGCAGTGTGTCATGTGGGCCTGTGCCACATGCTGGGCAGATGTTCTGCACGTCGCCGTTGATCCGGGCCCAGTAGGAATTTAGGCGGCTGCACCATCCGGATCGTAATTGAGCCAAGACTACTCGAGTTTGTCGGGGCAGCTCTCGTTCTTCAGCTGCGACGGGAGGGGGATGGTCTCCTAGCACAGTATTCACTCTATATCCTTCAATGGCTTCTGAGACCGCATTAGAGTGAATACTATTCAGTCCCGCTTGATAGGCCTGTTGATCTAGAGGCTCTCTCTCTTATACCTCTGTACCTCTCTCTCTAGATCATGAAGGTCTTTCCTAACGTGCCTGGGCGGAGGTTGCCTATCCACAAGATGGTGGTTTGGATGGCTTTGTCTATAACACCCAAGCAGGTATTGCATTGACAGCATTTTGTTATGCTGTCGCACCGGTAAGACCTTCGCCTCCTCATGTAGGTGATCGACAGGTGTCATGAGAAGGCACCCTGTTGCGGTTCTAAGGGCGGCATTCTGGCAGGACTGAACATTTTTCCACTGCGTAGCACTGACGTTAGCGGACCACACCGGAGCCGCATAGTTTACCACAGACCGACCTATCGCGTTGTAAGAGGTCAACAAGGTTTCCTTATCTGCTCCCCAAGTACTGCCGGCCAGAGACTTGAGGACCTTGTTCCTACTTCTAATCTTGTCGCAGATAGCTGTGGTATGCGCGGACGACTTAAAGAGGCTATCGAATGTGACCCCTAGTACCTTGGGGTAGTTGGTGGTCGGAATAATAGCACCATCGACCTGCACATTCAAGGATAGCCCCATCTCCGCAGTCCATGTGGTGAAAAGTGTGGCCGTCGACTTAGTGGCGGATATCTTCATATTCCTCGCAGTGAAAAAGGCGGTAAGATCAACAAGGTAAGCGTTCAACCGATCGCAAATGTCATCAATAATGGGTCCGGACGCCACGAGCGTACAATCATCTGCGTACGTAATAATCTCTATGCCGTCTGGAGGGCGTGGAATTTCAGAAAGGTAGAGTTTAAACAGTTCCGGAGATATCACCCCACCTTGGGGAACTCCCTGTTTAACTCTACGGATGCTCGACTTCTTGTTTCTGAATTCCACGTACGACTGGCGTCCACACATGTAGTTTACTATCCAACGTTTCAAACTTGGCCGGAGGGTGGTGCGTTCAATGTCCTCGAACAGTGTGGCATGATTGACTGTATCAAAGGCTTTTGATAAATCAAGTGCCACCATAACTGTTCTATCGCACGGCCTGTTCTGGTTGAGACCTCTACTGACATGTGTGGAAATGGCGTGTAAAGCTGTTGTTGTGCTATGCAATTTCCGGAATCCGTGTTGATGATCGGCTACTGGGAAACACTCTTATGCTGGGGAGGAGTAAAGCCTCAAGCGTCTTTGCTACTGGTGACAAAAGTGATATCGGCCTGTATGAATCACTTTTGCTGGCATCCTTGCCTGGCTTCAGTAGCGGGACCACCCTGCCCATTTTCCAGGCATCGGGAACTACTAGGGTGGCTAACGACAGATTGAGAAGCTTTGTCAGATACTCAACTCCTGGTTCATCCAGTTGCTTCAACATCGCCATTGAGATTCCGTCAGGACCAAGCGCTTTGGATGACTTTGCGCTTCTGATGACCTGTGCAACATCTGCCAACGTAAATTGTGGTGGTACCTCCTCGGCTGGAAGGGATCGTACACGGCGTAGTATTCTTCTCTTCGCCCTGTCACTCTCGGGGTGCTCTACAAACTGCCGGTTAAAATAACACGCGCACCTCTTCGAATCTGTCACTTCTACGCCGTTAAATGAGACAGATGTCCGATCGTCCTTTTTTCCAGGGTTCGAAAGCGACTTAACCGTTGCCCACAATTTACTCGTTCCGGTACCAATGTTGCAATGCTTCAGATGTTCTAACCACCTTTTCCGCTTATGCTCACCTACTAACCTGTTTACCTCCAGAGTAAGTTCCCTGACTCTGGGGTTATTAGGGTTAGTACGGCGAAGCTCATCTCGCTCGTTTGCTAATCCCGCTGCCTCTGCTGGGAAATTTGGTCTTATTTCAGGTATTCGACCAGCAGGTATATAGCGAGCGGCTGCAGCTTTGATGATGTCCCGGAAACACCTATCTGCTACCTGAACATCAGATGGGTTGGGCAGTTCTCTGAAGCGGCGATTGGTATACTCTCTGAATTCTTGCCAATTAGCTTTCCCGTGGTTAAGGAAAGTGCGGCGTTCTGAGTCGATGAAGTCGGGTGGTCTATTGATGGCGATAATAATGGGGAGGTGGTCTGAGCCTAGAGAAATGACTGATTGCCAAGTTACGTCATTCGTCAGACCTGGGGACACGATGGATATGTCCGGAGAACTGTGGCAGTCTCCCCTTATTCTGGTGGGCGCGTCCTCATTCACTATGCAAAACGTGGAGCTATCGATTTGCTCAGCCAGCGCCATGCCTCTCTGGTCATTACCTAGGACGGAATGCCATAATTCATGATGGGCATTGAAATCCCCTAGCACCAGACGGTTATTGCCTACCAGTAGTGAACTGATATTAGGCATATAACGTGGGGCACAGCTATTTAACGGCGGAATGTACACGTTGAGCACCTCTACCTCGGCGGATCCACACTTGACCGCTACCCCCATACATTCCATGTACGGGTCACTAGAGTCAAGCTCAGGCGAGATAGGTCTGTACTGGACAGAGTGGTGCAATAGGAACGCTAATCCTCCACCTCCACCTCTAGAGCGATCCTTCCTCAGTACGTTGTATCCATCACAACTTTGAAGCGTGCAGGTGGTACTCAGCTTCGTCTCCTGGATCGCTGCGACCTTGATATTCTTCCGACTCATAAAGCTTACAATTTCGTTGATCTTACCTCTGAGACCATCACAATTAAATTGGAGAAATGATGCATTATCCGGAACCTGAACAGCAATGTGTGGCGTCAAATGCTGCGTAGATTGCTGTTGAGGAGATTGCGGGGGAGTCTCATATTGCGACGACGATGAGGACGCCGAAGATGAAGACTCACTGGGGTCTACATTGACGCAGCAGGAAGCAATGTAGTCCCTATCGCTATACTCCTTTATCCGGTTTAGGCCGGAACAATTCCGGAAATGCACCCACTCCATGCATCCGTTGCATCTCACCGAAACCGATCTGTGGTGGATGCGATTACGACAAACGGAGCAGAACCATGATCCGGGGTTGGTCTCGATCCCGGCTCGGACCAAGAGAATACGGAGCAAACATTCCGGGTAATGTTGCTCCCACATCAGAAAAATGGACGAACACGAACATGTATTTGCTGGGTTGGCGGCCCCTGGTCGGAGAAATGTGCCTCCGAGTCAATCCGGTACATAGAACCGGCCGCCGTGGGATTGGGTTGTTGTTGTAGCAGCTCATACTGCTGTGTTCGAACTGACTCTCCTCAATCGGGCTCTGCCTTTAAGTCCAGTCTCAATAAGGATGCAACCTGTACGGGTTGGGTCCACAACGAGACTGGACTTAGGTGAGTAGGTTTGGCTGGACGCCGAAAAAAGTGGAGCGTGTCATGTGGTCCTGTGCCATAAGCTGGGCAGATGTTCTGCACATCGCTGTCGATCCGGGCCCAATAGAAAATTGAGGCGACTGCACCATCCGGATCTTAGTAGAGCCAAAATTACTCGAGTAGTTTTATTCAGAATAAATGCCGAATATTATCGCGAAAATATTCTGGAGGGTGTATAAAAGCGTTGGGCACTCAAACAGTTTGGCCGCAGACCCAGGACATTCCATCAGGACGCAGCACCATCGCACTCAGCACGCGTCACCCAAGAATGGTTGTAAAATGAGGTTCCCCGCTTCATTCCAGCGCACAATGGTCACCAAAATCTCCGGATACCAATCCGTTGGACTTTTGTGTCTGGAGTATTTTGGAAATCAAGGTTGGCACTAAAAAATACCAAAGTGTTGATCACCTCAAGCAAGAGCTTCGCCGGGAATGGGCCAAAATATCGCAGCGCAACATTCGGGCAGAGTGTGACGGTTTCATTGGCTGTTTGAAGGCCATAATTCGGGCCAAATGTGACCAATTCCAATAAATCTAAACTTATTCTAAAATTTGATGCTATTTCCGACATTTTTTGCTTTCATTCAATAACATTAAAAAAGAAATGTACAAATTATGGTGTTTGACTTCGTTGTAGTTTTTTATCTCACCCTGTATATCTTTTTTTAAGATTACAATTTTTGTTATACGAACATAAAACATTTTTTTCTCTTCTTTTCAGATATGCAACATGATTTCCTAAATTGTCGTATAAACCAACCAACATATGTTGTAGTCGTAAGGAAAACCTCAAATATAATAACAAACATAAATTTATTAAACTTTATAAATATGCATAAATCATACACACACAACAACAAACGAAACAAAACAACAAATAATTGCCCTCTCTAAATAAGTACTACAACAATAATAAATGGAAGCAAAACAGCCACAAGAAAAGGAAATAATATTAGAAAGAAAACTGCAGCAATCATTGCATATAAATCTATACCTAAAACCCCCTCACACACACACACAGAACACAATTTGAATGAGTAAGAAAACGAATTATTGTATTGCAAAAAAAAAAAAACAAAAAACATAATTTAAAAATTGAATGTATGCAAAATAATGCTGCAAGAAACAAAACCTATATATAATTTAAAAATAAAAAAAAAACCTAACAACAAATTATTAAAATAATAATAAAACTATAAGAAAAAATAAAAATTATTATTAATTAAAATTAAAAAAATAAAAAGAAAACAAAAAATAAGAAAAACAAATAAAAATGAGGAAACAAAATTTATCCTAAAAACACAACTTCAGCAGATATTTATGTATTTCGAAAATGGAAGCAGAAGAATTACAAACTACGAATACCTACAGCTGCGGAATGAACACCTCTTTTGTAAAAATTAATTTTTTTCAACATCTTTTTTTAATTTGTTTTGTAATTCCATAATTGTATTACATGTTGGGAATATAAAACTCTTTTTCTTTGTAAGTTCCTATTTAACTTTTGGTTTGGTTTAAATTATATCGAAAACATTTTTTCCGTAACTTTTATAGATTTCCATTGTTGGTGGTCATATTTTTATCTATGTTATTAAATTGATGAGACAAAAAATATAGGTCTCGAAAAACCTTCCATCCGTGATGAGTTAAGCTATGATCTTGAAGTCCAGTCGTCCTTTTGGAAATGTTTATTAGATTAATTTACACCGCAATATCGACTCATGGGCAGTATTATGCAAAGCAAGTGACAGCATTATGGGCATGAAAGGAATCATATAAAAAAGGTTGGTGTCATTTTGTATCTAGAATTTTGGAAAATATAAATATGTGACCCCAAGAGATTAAAATTTACAGCCCTATGAGTCTTCTTCAACATAAGTCATAGACAATATTTTTTGTGGAGAAAGCAAATCAATGTTTTATACCCTCAGTCATAGGCCAAAACGTGGCTCATCGAAATAACGGTTTTAGGTGCTACGTCTCTTTGGGCCAAATCCGTTGCAGGACTTTTGGAGTCGACACGATAACTCTCGAAAGGAGTATCCGATTTGATCCTTGGTACATCGTAATATTATTGTCAAACTTAGAGCGAGTTCGAATATGGGAAAATCGGTTCACTCCTTCTGGTACATCCCAAACAAAATGGTCAAAATTAAAAAAAAAAATATTTTATTGCACAGAAAGAGAAAGAATAATCCGATTTTGCTCAAACTTTGCAAATCCTAACTCCACTCCACTCTATTAATTACCTTCCGCTCAAAGGGTCAAAATTTTTAATAGTTTAAAATCTTTTAAAATATGACGTAACAATATTTTTACTAACCAAAGGTCAGGTGGGAAATTGGGATACATCGCTCCACTCCTTCTGGTAGCTCCCCCACAAAGTGTCAAAATTTTGAGTATCCATGAAGCTCATAAAACTCGAAATTAACATCTCATTCCATTCAAACTTGGTACATCTCAGTATTACCATCAACACAAGATCTGTTATAAAGATGGTAGAGATCGGACCATTTCTACTTGTACCTCCCTCACATAGGGTTCAAGATTTTTGAAAAACAAACCGTTCCAAGAAGGCGACATATACATTCAACTCTTTTCAAATTTCACACATGATGTGAAGATGATATATATCTGCCAACCCCTTCTGGTACCGTACCCACAAGTCTCCGATTCTTTACAACTTGCTATATCTAAATATTTATCTTAACCAGAAATCTGATATGAATATGTTATTTATCGAAATTTATGATTATGATTTATGATTATAAAACTGTACCTCCCTCTATTCGGTATTTTGAATATTTTAGCTACATTATTCACCGGAATTGTTAGAAATTTCGTATTTGCACTTCGTAATGGGTATTACAACCACTGACAGAAAATTGTCTATTTAGGTCCAGGTCTTCGTATAGCCCCCATATAACGGTACCCCCCTATATTCGGTATTAAGATTAAAAATTTTAAATTTCCAAATTAGTTTCTGATGGTTGAGGACATTAAAAGTTCGACCCGGCCGAACATACTGTTTTTACTTGTTATTTTTTAAATTATTGCAATATACCAGCTAAATTTATTGAAAATGGTTCTATGTGATGCGAACATTATATTTATTTGTGAGTTCTGGTGAAGTCATAAAACATTAGATTTTTTCTTCAACATTCGAACCAAATGCTAAACAGAAATTTCAAAATTTTTATTTAAAAACATATTTATGTGAATATTACTATTAAATATTTAACATATGCAAACAAAATGTCATGCCAAAAGATGACAAAAGGTTGGCACTTGATGGACCATTTAAAATTATCTAAAACCAATTTTTTCCATGACATCGGAAAAATTGTAAAGCTAGTAGTTTCTTGCACAGCAAATGTTGACCATTTGCAAGGGAGTGTTTTATGTACATTTTACTTTTTTTACTTACAAAAATCGTTGGTATATAAAATCTAATATGATTTTCAAAGCTAGAGGAATACAGAGACTCGCTCTATAATTTTTAATATAATCGTACTTATTTAACCTGAATATCTATTCATTTTGCCCATTGACAATTCGGGAATCTTCCAAATTTTTTAAGGATGTTTAAATTTCTTGAACTCTATGGTTACTTGTTTCCTCCATTGCTGGTATATCCGGTGGTATGTTTTTTATATTTGTCCCAATTGTTTTCCACCTTCCGAGTTTGATTTGTATGTATAAATATGCATGGTTGTTCTTTCTATATAATTCCAGCCTGTATAAATTCTAGATATTATCATTACACTAAATAGTTTTAGAATGAACAAGCAAGTTCCCCTAAATAATTTATTTGAAAAGAACAAATAATATTTTAATTTAAAAACTCAAAAATTACAAAATTTAATGTTCTTCCAATTTGAAAAAAAATATTTTTTTTTTCAAATTCAACGCAGTTCTTCTTCGTGGTTTCCTTTTACATATTCGACATTTTATTCAATAATTTATCTATTAAGACCAGCTTGCTAAATGACATCTATACTTTTTTTTGTAATTAATTTTATATTTTTTTTGTTTTGTGTATTTAGTAGTTGTATTTTTGATATTTGCTAAGAATAAAATTATGTTTTTGCTCGCTTAGGTACTTTTTTCTCCTTTGTGGTTATAACAAAGGAAAGAGAATAATATTTAAAATATTAAAAAAAAACAGAACACACACATATATATTAAAAACAATTAACAAAATGAAACAAATTTCCCAACAAATAAGACAAAACAGATCAAATTTTTAAAAATTTAAATAAAAAAAGATGTATAAAATAGTAATAATCCCAAGGTGTTTGAATTAAACCAAATTAGAAAAAATTAAAGTGTATTAAAAATATTTTTCAAGGATCCAGGCTATAAGCGTGGACTTTTAAGGAGTATCTGAGCCACAATCGCGAATTTTTAAAGAATATTTTTTTAAGGATAAACATAGCAATAAACGTGGATTTTTAAAGAATATTTTTTTAAAGTAAATTTCTTCAAGGACCATCCAAACTTCACTCGTAGATTTTCAAAGGAAATTTCTTAGAACGTGGATTTTTATAGAATATTTCTTTAAGGGGCCTCAGAGTGATGAACGTGGATTTTTAAAGAATATATCTTCAAGGACCATCCAAGCTTCAAACGTGGATTTTTAAAGTAAATTTCTTCAGGGACCATCCAAGCTCCACACGTGGATTTTTAAAGTAAATTTCTCCAGGGACCATCCAAGCTCCACACGTGGATTTTTAAAGAATATTTTTCAAGGACCATAAGAGCAATAGACTTGGATTTTTAAAGAATATTTCTTCAAGGACCATCCAAGCTTCAAACATGGATTTTTAAAGAATATTTTTTCATGGACCATCAAAGCTTCAAACATGGATTTTAAAAGAATATTTTTCAAGGACCATACAAGCTTCAAATTAGGGTTTTTAAAGAATATTTCTTCAAGGACCATCCAAGCTTCAAACCTGGATTTTTAAAGAATGTTTTTCCAAGGACCAACAGACCAATAAACGTGAATTTTTAAAGAATATTTCTTCAAAGACCACCCAAGTTTTAGACGTGGATTTTCAAAAAATATTTTTTCAAGGACTATCCTAGCTTCAAACGTGGATTTTCAAAGAATATTTTTTCAAGGACTATCCCAGCTTCAAACGTGGATTTTTAAAGAATATTTTTTCAATAACTATCCCAGCTTTTAACGACGATTTTTAAAGAATATTTTTTCAAGGACTATTCCAGCTTCAAACGCGGATTTTTAAAGAATATTTTTTCAAGGACTATTCCAGCTTCAAACGTGGATTTTTAAAGAATATATTTCAAGGACTATCCCAGCTTCAAACGTGGATTTTTAAAGAATATTTTTTCAAGGACTATCCCAGCTTCAAACGTGGATTTTTAAAGAATATTCAAACTTGGATTTTTAAAGAATATTTTTTCAAGGACTATTCCAGGTTCAAACGTGGATTTTTAAAGAATATTTTTTCAAGGACTATTCCAGGTTCAAACGTGGATTTTTAAAGAATATTTTTTCAAGGACTGACCATCCAAGCTTCAAACGTGGATTTTTAAGGAAAATTTGTTCAAGGATCATCAGAGCAATAAACGTGGATTTTTAAAGAATATTTCTTCAAGGACCATCCAAGCTTCAAACGTGGATTTTTAAAGCAAATTTTTTCAAAGACCATCCAAGCTTCAAACCTGGATTTTTAAATAATATTTTTCCACGGACCTTCTGGACCTAAAAATTGGATTTTTAAAGAATATTCTTCAAGGACCATCCAAGCTTCAAACGTGGATTTTTAAAGCAAATTTCTTCAAGGACCATCCTAGTTTCAAACTTGGATTTTTAAAAAATATATCTTCAAGGACCATCCAAGCTTCAAACGTAGATTTTTAAATAATATTTTCTCCACGGACCTACTGGACCTAAAAAGTGGATTTTTAAAGAATATTTCTTCAAGGACCATCAAGCTTCAGACGTGGATTTTTAAATAATATTTATTCTACGGACCTTCTGGACCTAAAAAGACCTATAGACCAATAAACGTGAATTTTTATGGGATATATATTTCAAGTTCCTACATAATAATAAACGTGGATTTTTAAAGAATATTTCATTAAGGACCATCAAAGCTTCAAATGTGAATTTTTAAAGAATATTTCTTGAAGGACCTTCCAAGCTTCAAACGAGGATTTTTAAAGCAAATTTCTCCAAGGACCATCAGAGCAATTAACGTGGACTTTTAAAGTATATTTCTCCAAGGACCAACAGAACAATAACCCTGGGTTTTTAAAGAATATGTCTTCAAAGACCAACAGACCAATAACCCTGGAGTTTTAATGAATATTTCTCCCCGGACCAACAGAGCAATATAAATGGATTTATAAAGAATATTTCTTCAAGAACCAACGGACCAATAACCGTGGAATTTTAAAAAACATTGAAGGACCATCGGCGCATTTTTTCTAATTCCATCCTAAAAATATGTTTTATTAAAGAACACCACCAGCAATTGTCAACACAAATTAATTATATTTTATATATAATTTGTTATAATTTACAAAAAATATTTCATGTAAGTAGGTATGTATAAGTTATATATATTGACGTTTAAAAACTAATCACTAAAAAGATTACGCGATTATTTATTTATTTAATTGTGGGTGTTTCATTATTATTTTATTATATTTTTTTGGTATAACTTTGTCGACGCTCACATGACTAGAATAAAAACAAAATCTTAAAATTATTTCTTTTATAGATTACAGAATAATTATTTTTCTTTCCTTGGTTATCTGTGTACACAGACAGAAACTCGGAAATGACAAAGATTTCATTTCAGGATTCTCAGATTCTCACATTTAAAATTAGTTTAGAATATAGTATCTCTTTTTTAGGTTACATCCGATTATGCAATTTTAATTGTTATTGTTTTTGGAGTTTATTCAAAATTGTTTTGTTTGAAGCCATTATAAAAAATAACACAAAACGAAAAATCGAAAGGAAAACTTAAAGTCCAGGACTATTGGCCCCTGGTCCTTACAAATACATGCCATTGACTAGGAAATCGGCTTCGTGGGAATATGGCGTTTTACCACCCATACGTCTGGCTCTTCGTCCCACTGTACGCATACGACAGCCAATGAGTATGGCCAATGCTGCCGTAATTAGAAGACCCAGGGTGAGCGATAGCACTGCCCCACCCGGTCTCTCGGATTGGCCGTCATGATCTCGAAATTCCAGAGCCATGTTTTGATGAATTATTTCGTATTGTTCGTGCACGGGCGAAACTGCTGTTTTTATTGTTTTCACAGAATTTGATGTCGTCTTTGATGCGGTCGAATGCTGAGAGGCTGAGGCTTCTTCAATAGGTTCTGCAGATTTATCCAAGTCCTTTGATTTCGATTTTCCCTTCTTGTGTTTGTGCTGGAATGAGAAGGAGAGGAGGATTTTTTTAAGGATATCACACCTTTAATTGTGGATTTTTTAAATAAAATGAAAATAAACGTGGATTTTTTAAAAAATATTTTTTCAAGGACCAATAAACGTGGATTTTTTAAAGAATATTTTTTCAAGGACCAATAAACGTGGATTTTTTAAAAAATATTTTTTCAAGGACCAATAAACGTGGATTTTTTAAAGAATATTTTTTCAAGGACCAAAAAACGTGGATTTTTTAAAGAATATTTTTTCAAGGACCAATAAACGTGGATTTTTTAAAGAATATTTTTTCAAGGACCAATAAACGTGGATTTTTTAGGAATATTTTTTCAAGGACCAATAAACGTGGATTTTTTAAAGAATATTTTTTCAAGGACCAATAAACGTGGATTTTTTAAAGAATATTTTTTCAAGGACCATTAAACGTGGATTTTTTAAAGAATATTTTTTCAAAGACCAATAAACGTGGATTTTTTAAAGAATATTTTTTCAAGGACAAATAAACGTGGATTTTTTAAAGAATATTTTTTCAAGGACCAATAAACGTGGATTTTTTAAATATTTTTTCAAGTACCAATAAACGTGGATTTTTTAAAGAATATTTTTTCAAGGACCAATAAACGTGGATTTTTTAAAGAATATTTTTTTAAGGACCAATAAACGTGGATTTTTTAAAGAATATTTTTTCAAGGACCAATAAACGTGGATTTTTTAAAGAATATTTTTCAAGGACCAATAAACGTGGATTTTTTAAAGAATATTTTTTCAAGGACCAATAAACGTGGATTTTTTAAAGAATATTTTTTCAAGGACCAATAAACGTGGTTTTTTTAAAGAATATTTTTTCAAGGACCAATAAACGTGGATTTTTTAAGAATATTTTTTCAAGGACCAATAAACGTGGATTTTTTAAGAATATTTTTTCAAGGACCTTCTCAACAATAAAGGTGGATTTTTTAAAGAATATTTTTTCAAGGACCAATAAACGTGGATTTTTTAAAGAATATTTTTTCAAGGACCAATAAACGTGGATTTTTTAAGAATATTTTTTCAAGGACCAATAAACGTGGATTTTTTAAGAATATTTTTTCAAGGACCAATAAACGTGGATTTTTTAAGAATATTTTTTCAAGGACCAATAAACGTGGATTTTTTAAAGAATATTTTTTCAAGGACCAATAAACGTGGATTTTTTAAGAATATTTTTTCAAGGACCTTCTCAACAATAAAGGTGGATTTTTTAAAGAATATTTTTTCAAGGACCAATAAACGTGGATTTTTTAAGAATATTTTTTCAAGGACCTTCTCAACAATAAAGGTGGATTTTTTTAAGAATATTTTTTCAAGGACCTTCTCAACAATAAAGGTGGATTTTTTTAAGAATATTTTTTCAAGGACCTTCTCAACAATAAACCTGGATTTTTTAAGAATATTTTTTCAAGGACCTTCTCAACAATAAACGTGGATTTTTTAAGAATATTTTTTCAAGGACCTTCTCAACAATAAACGTGGATTTTTTAAGAATATTTTTTCAAGGACCTTCTCAACAATAAACGTGGATTTTTTAAGAATATTTTTTCAAGGACCTTCTCAACTATAAACGTGGATTTTTTAAGAATATTTTTCAAGGACCTTCTCAATTATAAACGTGGATTTTCTAAGAATATTTTTCAAGGACCTTCTCAATTATAAACGTGGATTTTTTAAGAATATTTTTTCAAGGACCAACAGATCTATGAACGTGGATTTTTTAAGAATATTTTTTCAAGGACCTTCTCAACTATAAACGTGGATTTTTTAAGAATATTTTTTCAAGGACCAACAGATCTATGAATGTGGATTTTTTAAGAATATTTTTTTCAAGGACCAACAGATCTATGAACGTGGATTTTTTAAGAATAATTTTTCGAGGACCTTCTCAACTATAAACGTGGATTTTTTAAGAATATTTTTTCAAGGACCTTCTCAACTATAAACGTGGATTTTTTAAGAATATTTTTTCAAGGACCTTCTCAACTATAAACGTGGATTTTTTAAGAATATTTTTCAAGGACCAACAGATCTATGAACGTGGATTTTTTAAGAATATTTTTCAAGGACCAACAGATCTATGAACGTGGATTTTTAAAAAAATATTTTTTCCTGAGTAGACCTCTGGCCTTCTCTGAGAAGACATTCTGGCATTCTCTGAGAAAACCTTCTGGCTTTCTATGAGAAGGCCTTCTGGCGTTTGGTGAGAGGACCTTCTGGGCTTCTATGAGAAGACCTTCTGGCCTTCTATGAGAGGACCTTCTGGCCTTCTATGAGAGGACCTTCTGGCTTTCTATGAGAAGACCTTCTGGCCTTCTATGAGAAGACCTTCTGGCCTTCTATGAGAAGACCTTCTGGCCTTCTATGAGAAGACCTTCTGGCCTTCTATGAGAAGACCTTCTGGCCTTCTATGAGAAGACCTTCTAGCCTTCTCTGAGAAGCCCTTCTATGAAAGACCTTCTGGCCTTCTTTGAGAAGACCTTTTGGCCTTTTTTGAGAAGACCTTCTGGCCTTCTCTGAGTAGACCCTCTGCCCTTTTATGAGAAGACTTTCTGGCCTTCTATGAGAAGACCTTCTGGCCTTCTATGAGAAGACCTTCTGGCCTTCTATGGGAAGACCTTCTGGCCTTCTATGAGAAGACCTTCTGGCCTTCTATGAGAAGACCTTCTGGCCTTCTATGAGAAGACCTTCTGGCCTTCTATGAGAAGACCTTGTGGCCTTCTATGAGAAGACCCTCTGGCCTTCTATGAGAAGGCCTTCTAGCCTTCTATGAGATGACCTTCTGGCCTTCTATGAGAAGACCTTCTGGCCTTCTATGAGAAGACCCTCTGGCCTTCTATGAGAAGACCTTTTGGCCTTCTATGATTAGACCTTCTGGCCATCTATGAGAAGACCATCTGGCCTTCTATGAGGAGATCTTCCGGCCTTCTTTGGGATGACCTTCTGGTCTTCTGTGAAAAGACTTTCTGGCCTTCTATGAGAAGACCTTCTGGTCTTCCGTAGGATGACTTTCAGGCTTTCTGTGAGAATTAATTCTTCGTTTGTGTGTACAATCCTTTGTTTTGTTGCCTCTTTTTGTGTGTTTTTCCTACGCTTACCTTCTTTGGTGGTTCCGTTGACTTCTCCTCTGAGTCATCGTATTCATCGGAATCATCCGCTTTAGCAATTTGTGTGAGTGAAGGATGATTTGAGGTGCCAACCGATGATTTTGTTTCACCCAGAGCTTGTAGTTGTTGTTGTTGGGATAAAGAAGGCACCGATAATTGGGCAGGTTGTTGTTGTGTTTGTTGTTGTTGCTGCTGCATCATAATACTGGCCACAGGTTGGGACTGTTGTTGCTGAGTTGATCCATCATTCGACATTGCATATGCGGAACCCTGAGGCAGTGGAATTTGTTGTTGCTGTTGTTGTTGTGAGATTACTAATCCCTGTTGTTGTTGTTTCTGTTGATTAAGTATTGCCTGCTGTTGCCAATTAGAATTCAATGGTGCTGGCGGCGGGGGAGGTGGAGGAGGTAAGAGAATGTGCTGTTGTTGTTGCTGCTGCTGCTGTTGTTGAACATACAAGCCATTAGGATCTTGACCACCACCAGTCACATGTTGTACATAAAGACCACTTTGTTCCAGGGTAGAACCCCCACTGTTGCCACCAACAACATTGGCAATGGGTACACTGCCATCTGAGCTTGTCGCCGGTGCATATATTCCATGCGTAGCCGCCGCCGTTTGCCGGTTATTAATGTAGGCTGTAAAGCCATCGGCCGAGGCAACACTTCCACCGGGAGATATGGGATTCATGTTTTGTAAATCAACGTTAGCTAAAAGAAAAAGAGGGGAAATTATGGAGTTTTACAATAATTTAGTAGAAATTTTGTGGATTTTAAAAAAATGGCCTGCAGACCAATAATTGTGGATTTTTAAAGAAAATTTTTTCAAAGACCTGCGGACCAATAAACGAGGACTTTTAAAGAATATTTTTTCAAGGACTTGCAGACCAATAACCGTGGATTTTTAAACAATATTTTTTCAAGGGCCTATAGACTAATAATCGTGAATTTTTAAGGAATATTTTTTGAAGGTCCAACAGATCTTTTAAGAATATTTTTCAAGGACCAACAGATCTTCTCAACAATAAACGTGGATTTTTTAAGACTATTTTTTCAAGGACCAACAGATCTTCTCAACAATAAACGTGGATTTTTTAAGTGGATGGATTTTTGGATTGGATTTTTAAAGAATAATTTTTAAGGACAAATCGATCAATAAATTTGGATTAAAAAAAATTAGGGACCCACAGACCAATAAACGTGGATTTTTACAGAATATTTTTTTAAGGACCTGCATTTTTAAAGAATATGTGGATTTTTAAAGAATATTTTTTCAAGGACCTGCATTTTTAAAGAATATTTTTTCAAGGACCCACAGACCAATAAACGTGGATTTTTACAGAATATTTTTTCAAGAACCTACAGACAAATAAATGTGGGTTTTTAAAGAATATATTTTCAAGGACCATCTCAACAATAAACGTGGATTTTTAAAGAATATTTTTTCAAGGACCTGCAGACCAATAAACGTGGATTTTTAAGAATATTTTTCAAGGACCTGCAGAAAGATATACGTGGATTTTTAAGGAATGTTTTTTCAAGGACCAACAAACCAATAAACGTGGATTTTTAAGGAATGTTTTTTCAAGGACCAACAAACCAATAAACGTGGATTTTTAAGGAATGTTTTTTCAAGGACCAACAAACCAATAAACGTGGATTTTTAAGGAATGTTTTTTCAAGGACCTGCTGATCCATAAACGTGGATTTTTAAAGAATATTTTTCAAGGACCATCTCAACAATAAACGTGGATTTTTAAAGAATATTTTTCAAGGACCATCTCAACAATAAACGTGGATTTTTAAAGAATATTTTTCAAGGACCATCTCAACAATAAACGTGGATTTTTAAAGAATATTTTTCAAGGACCATCTCAACAATAAACGTGGATTTTTAAAGAATATTTTTCAAGGACCATCTCAACAATAAACGTGGATTTTTAAAGAATATTTTTCAAGGACCATCTCAACAATAAACGTGGATTTTTAAAGAATATTTTTCAAGGACCATCTCAACAATAAACGTGGATTTTTAAAGAATATTTTCAAGGACCATCTCAACAATAAACGTGGATTTTTAAAGAATATTTTTCAAGGACCATCTCAACAATAAACGTGGATTTTTAAAGAATATTTTTCAAGGACCATCTCAACAATAAACGTGGATTTTTAAAGAATATTTTTCAAGGACCATCTCAACAATAAACGTGGATTTTTAAAGAATATTTTTCAAGGACCATCTCAACAATAAACGTGGATTTTTAAAGAATATTTTTCAAGGACCATCTCAACAATAAACGTGGATTTTTAAAGAATATTTTTGCAAGGACCTACAGAGCAATAAACGTGGATTTTTAAAGAATATTTTTGCAAGGACCTACATAGCAATAAACGTGGAGTTTTAAAGAATATTTTTTCAAGGACCTGCAGACCAATAAACGTGGAATTTTAAAGAATATTTTTTCAAGGACCTGCAGACCAATAAACGTGGAATTTTAAAGAATATGTCTTCAAGGACCAATAGACCAATAAACGTGGATTTTTAAAGAATATTTTTTCAAGGACCCACAGACCAATAAACGTGGATTTTTAAAGAATATTTTTTCAAGGACCCACAGACCAATAAACGTGGATTTTTAAAGAATATTTTTTTCAAGAATTATCTGAGCCATAAACGTGGATTTGTTAAGAATATTTTTTCAAGGATTATCTGAGCCATAAACGTGGATTTTTAAAGAATATTTTTTCAAGGATTATCTGAGCCATAAACGTGGATTTTAAAGAATATTTTTTTTAAAATTCTCACATCACACTTTTTGTTCTGATAGACCGAATTTTTCTTTGAAAGTCTCTCAGACATGGCTTTGTAAGAATTTAGTTTTGAAGGACTCATTATATCCTTTTATAAAGAAATATCTACGCAATTGATCTAGGTTGTTTACATTTCCCTATGTTTTCAAAACTTCCATAATAACAACCACCTAGTTTTTCTTTTTGTCTTTGTTTGTTACTCTTCACACTTCCAACAATTTCGTTTTCCCTTTAATGTTTTCATTTTTCATGATGATGACGTTTGATGAGGCATTTCTTTTTTTTTTTTTTAAATTTTCACTAATTACCATTTTTTGTTGATTCAGTTGAAATTTCTTTTTTTTTTCTTCTTTTTTCCGCCTGTCTGTCTGCCGGTTTGTTTGTCGGACTGAATGTTTCAAGCCTAAGCATAACATTTAAATTTTCCACACGGTTGAGTTTTGAAAAACTAGTTTCATTTAAGCGGTCTTTTTGTTTTCTTATCTCAACTTCGTCATCGTCATTATCATCTTCGTCGTCGTCTTCTGCAAAGTGACACCATTCCACTGACATTTAAATATCTTGGTGTTCTTCTGAGCGAGTCCGATTTGAATAAAAACAAATTATAACGGTCTTAGATAACCTTAATCGCGTGGAAATAATTGTGGGCCATTAAAAATGAATTTAGATGGGCGTTACAACATTTAGGTGGTTTGGGGTAATAATTTAAAGATTTAAAGTTACGAGTAGCTCTACTACATATGAATAATGGTGTAGGGTATCATATAGTCGACTTGTGGTCTTTCTTTAATAGTTTTATTTTATTTTTTTTTTTTTTTGGTGGGAGCACCTTTTTTATTTATTTTCCAAGAGGTCTTTGGTCTAATATTTCCATGGTATAAATAATTTCAGGGTTTAAATAATATTCTTTAGAACATTTGTGAAAGCCTATATGGTCTATAACTGGGGAATATCAAGAATATTTAAAATATTGTTGAAAACTATTTTCCATCTACAAAAAATTCCCAAAAAAATCTTCTACTTTTTAAAAGATCTGTAAGAGGTTCTTTGTCTTTTACTCCAACCATTTCACAAAAATTGCGAAAAAAAATTCCCAACCTGCAATTACATTGTTCTAAACGGCTAACATCTCCCGCCTCTAAACTTGCCAACATAACATCTAATTGGATGTGATGGGATAAGTGTTTTAGAAGTCATAAAACTTGAACATGATATGTCAGCATTACCATAATTTATTTATTAGCCTGCCGCCTACTTTTCCCACAAAAATCTGTTAAAAAACAAAAATTGAATGAGTTTTCAAAACAATTTATGTTCTTGTCCATGGTTTGCAAGTTAATGGGGGTACTACATTCATACACTTCCCAGAGTTGCTAATTTATGCGCTGTGGGCGAATAAAAAAATAGGAAATAATTTTTGCTTTAAACGGGGGGAAACTTCGGAATGATATGTAATTAAATGTAAACGGATTGCGAAAATACAATTTAACAAAATTGTGATATTACTGAAGAAGAAGTACAGAAGATTTGTTTGAAAGTGGAAAACAGCCTTCGGCTCATGGTGTTCTAGTCAAGGTCTTCTAGTTAAGACCTCAAGCTTTTCTGGGGAAGACCTCAAGCTCTTCTAGTGAAGACCTCAAGGTCTTCTAGTGAAGACCTCAAGGTCTTCTAGTGAAGAACTCAAGGTCTTCTAGTGAAGACCTCAAGGTCTTCTAGTGAAGACCTCAAGGTGTTCAGTGAAGACCTCCAGGTCTTCTAGTGAAGACCTCAAGGTCTTCTAGTGAAGACCTCAAGGTGTTCAGTGAAGACCTCCAGGTCTTCTAGTGAAGACCTCAAGGTCTTCTAGTGAAGACCTCCAGGTCTTCTAGTGAAGACCTCCTGGTCTTCTAGTGAAGACCTCCAGGTCTTCTAGTGAAGACCTCCAGGTCTTCTAGTGAAGACCTCCAGGTCTTCTAGTGAACCCCTCAAGGTCTTCTAGTGAAGACCTCAAGGTCTTCTAGTGAAGACCTCAAGGTCTTCTAGTGAAGACCTCAAGGTCTTCTAGTGAAGACCTCAAGGTCTTCTAGTGAAGACCTCAAGGTCTTCTAGTGAAGACCTCAAGGTCTTCTAGTGAAGACCTCGAGGTCTTCTAGTGAAGACCTCAAGGTCTTCTAGTGAAGACCTCAAGGTCTTCTGGTGAAGACCTCAAGGTTTTCTGGTGAAGACCTCAAGCCTTCCGCTGGTCTATAGAGACGGCCTTCCGATGGGCTATAGAGACAGCCTTCCGCTGGTCTATAGAGACAGCCTTCCGCTGGTCTATAGAAACAGCCTTCCGCTGGTCTATAGAGACAGCCTTCCGCTGGTCTATAGAGACAGCCTTCCGCTGGTCTATAGAGACAGCCTTCCGCTGGTCTATAGAGACAGCCTTCCGCTGGTCTATAGAGACAGCCTTCCGCTGGTCTATAGAGACAGCCTTCCGCTGGTCTATAGAGACAGCCTTCCGCTGGTCTATAGAGACAGCCTTCCGCTGGTCTATAGAAACAGCCTTCCGCTGGTCTATAGAGACAGCCTTCCGCTGGTCTATAGAGACAGCCTTCCGCTGGTCTATAGAGACAGCCTTTCGCTGGTCTATAGAGACAGCCTTCAGCTGGTCTATAGAGACAGCCTTCAGCTGGTCTATAGAGACAGCCTTCAGCTGGTCTATAGAGACAGCCTTCAGCTGGTCTATAGAGACAGCCTTCAGCTGGTCTATAGAGGCAGCCTTCAACTGGTCTATAGAGGCAGCCTTCCGCTGGTCTATAGAGGCAGCCTTCCGCTGGTCTATAGAGGCAGCCTTCCGCTGGTCTATAGAGGCAGCCTTCCGCTGGTCTATAGAGGCAGCCTTCCGCTGGTCTATAGAGGCAGCCTTCCGCTGGTCTATAGACACAGCCTTAAGAGCTGGTCTATAGAGACAGCCTTAAGAGCTGGTCTATAGAGACAGCCTTAAGAGCTGGTCTATAGAGACAGCCTTAAGAGCTGGTCTATAGAGACCGACTTCAGAGCTGGTCTATAGAGACCGCTTTCGGCTCGCCTGTAAAAACAGCCTTCGGTTACTCTATAAAGACAGCCTTTGGCTCGTCAGTAAAGACAGCTTTCAGCTGTAAAGGCTCCCTTGCACCACCACTATAAAGTTTCCCTTGTGTTCTCTCAAACAAAAGAGAGGAGGCCGTTTCATACCCACCATTGTTGACATTGATGGGGGTTCCCGAAACGATTTTCCTTGTTTCCCAAACCGTTGGATCTTCACGATTGTTGACCACTGGAACGGATGGCATAACTCCGGCACTTTGACTTTGATGCGATGATGGTTGGATTTGTTGCATATTTTGTAATTGTTGTTGGGCTGATTGTTGCATAAAAGCCTGAGACTGATATTGAGTCATTTGAGGTGAAGCTTTGTTCGGTTGGGTGTCCGATGAAGATTTTGAACTTGGAGTTAAGTTGTTGGTGTTGGCATTGGCTCCAGAACACTGTGGAAAAATTTGATAATTAAAAATATTAAATATTTGTTTTTGTAAAGAAAAAATACCTCCGGCCCCTCATCACTGCCATCCTCGCATTGGGGAATGCCATCGCAGGCATTGTACACCGCTATGCACTCTCCTGAGTGGCAGGCAAACTGAAAACGACCACACTGGACCGATGAATTGACTGCAAGAGAAAAAACAATTTTAAATTTATTTCAACAAAAATTCTCTCCATGCCTTACCTTTGTTGGTCACTTCCACATCCGATGATGCTACCACCGATTTCTTTGCATTGGTGTTGGTGTTCATTACACCCAATGCCGGCAAACCCATTTCGGCTGCCTTTTCCCTCACTTCAGGTTTCATTTTTAAATTTGATAATTCCCATTCTTGTTGCGATATGGCCGAAGATGTCTTGTGTGCCACCACAGGGTGGGGAGTGGTAACTTCAATGGTAGATCGAATGACCGGTGTCAAAACGGCACTGGTATAATTGGCATGACGTGTAAATTTGCAATGGAAATTTTCCGGGGTACCACATTCGAAGAGATAACAATAGCCATCTTTTTTACTCTCGAAAATGTAGACATCACACGATTCGGTTTCACAGCACAGACGTTGACACTCTTCCATTGTGTCCAGTTCCAATCCTTGTAGATATTTACCACCAATGGCTTGGGATTCGCCCGTGCGAATGATGGTATTCTTGTGAACATCGAATTGTCCTGGAGATGAGAGTGGGAAAATTAAGGAAGTAGTTGCAGGTAATATCCTCCTATCCTCTCTCTTTCATGTACTTGGACGCCTACTATACTCTCTCCTGCCATCTATAAAAACTCGCTCCTGATAGTCTATAAAGATTCCCTCTTCAGCTCGTCTATAGAGACCCCCTCTTCAGCTCGTCTATAGAGACTCCCTCTTCAGCTCGTCTATAGAGACTCCCTCTTTAGGTCGTCTATAGAGACTCCCTCTTCAGGTCGTCTATAGAGGCTCCCTCTTCAGGTCGTCTATAGAGACTCCCTCTTCAGGTCGTCTATAGAGACTCCCTCTTCAGGTCGTCTATAGAGACTCCCTCTTCAGGTCGTCTATAGAGACTCCCTCTTCAGGTCGTCTATAGAGACTCCCTCTTCAGGTCGTCTATAGAGACTCCCTCTTCAGGTCGTCTATAGAGACTCCCTCTTCAGGTCGTCTATAGAGACTCCCTCTTCAGGTCGTCTATAGAGACTCCCTCTTCAGGTCGTCTATAGAGACTCCCTCTTCAGCTCGTCTATAGAGACTCCCTCTTCAGCTCGTCTATAGAGACTCCCTCTTCAGCTCGTCTATAGAGACTCCCTCTTCAGCTCGTCTATAGAGACTCCCTCTTCAGCTCGTCTGTAGAGACTCCCTCTTCAGCTCGTCTATAAAGGCTCCCTCTTCAGCTCGTCTATAGAGACTGCCACATCAGCTCGTCTATAGAGACTGCCACATCAGCTCGTCTATAGAGACTGCCACATCAGCTCGTCTATAGAGACTGCCACATCAGCTCGTCTATAGAGACTCCCACATCAGCTCGTCTATAGAGACTCCCCCTTCAGCTCGTCTATAGAGACTCCCCCTTCAGCTCGTCTATAGAGACTCCCCCTTCAGGTCGTCTATAGAGACTCCCTCTTCAGGTCGTCTATAGAGACTCCCTCTTCAGGTCGTCTATAGAGACTCCCTCTTCAGGTCGTCTATAGAGACTCCATCTTCAGGTCGTCTATAGAGACTCCCTCTTCAGGTCGTCTATAGAGACTCCCCCTTCAGCTCGTCTATAGAGACTCCCTGTTCAGCTCGTCTGTAGAGACTCCCTGTTCAGCTCGTCTATAGAGACTCCCTGTTCAGCTCGTCTATAGAGACTCCCTGTTCAGCTCGTCTATAGAGACTCCCTGTTCAGCTCGTCTATAGAGACTCCCTGTTCAGCTCGTCTATAGAGACTCCCTGTTCAGCTCGTCTATAGAGACTCCCTGTTCAGCTCGTCTATAGAGACTCCCTGTTCAGCTCGTCTATAGAGACTCCCTGTTCAGCTCGTCTATAGAGACTCCCTGTTCAGCTCGTCTATAGAGACTCCCTGTTCAGCTCGTCTATGGAGACTCCCTGTTCAGCTTGTCTATGGAGACTCCCTGTTCAGCTCGTCTATAGGAGACTCCCTGTTCAGCTCGTCTATGGAGACTCCCTGTTCAGCTCGTCTATGGAGACTCCCTGTTCAGCTTCGTCTATGGAGACTCCCTGTTCAGCTCGTCTATGGAGACTCCACTGTTCAGCTCAGTCTATGAGACTGCCACATCAGCTCGTCTATAGAGACTCCCACATCAGCTCGTCTATAGAGACTCCCCCTCAGCTCGTCTATAGAGACTCCCCTTCAGCTCGTCTATAGAGACTCCCCCTTCAGCTCGTCTATAGAGACTCCCCCTTCAGCTCGTCTATAGAGACTCCCCCTTCAGCTCGTCTATAGAGACTCCCCCTTCAGCTCGTCTATAGAGACTCCCTTTCAGGCTCGTCTATAGAGACTCCCTCTTCAGGTCGTCTATAGAGACTCCCTCTTCAGGTCGTCTATAGAGACTCCCTCTTCAGGTCGTCTATAGAGACTCCCTCTTCAGGTCGTCTATAGAGACTCCCTCTTCAGGTCGTCTATAGAGACTCCCTGTTCAGCTCGTCTATAGAGACTCCCTGTTCAGCTCGTCTATAGAGACTCCCTGTTCAGCTCGTCTATAGAGACTCCCTGTTCAGCTCGTCTATAGAGACTCCCTGTTCAGCTCGTCTATAGAGACTCCCTGTTCAGCTCGTCTATAGAGACTCCCTGTTCAGCTCGTCTATGGAGACTCCCTGTTCAGCTCGTCTATGGAGACTCCCTGTTCAGCTCGTCTATGGAGACTCCCTGTTCAGCTCGTCTATGGAGACTCCCTGTTCAGCTCGTCTATGGAGACTCCCTGTTCAGCTCGTCTATGGAGACTCCCTGTTCAGCTCGTCTATGGAGACTCCCTGTTCAGCTCGTCTATGGAGACTCCCTCTTCAGCTCGTCTATAGAGACTCTCTCTTCAGCTCGTTTATAGAGACTCCCTCTTCAGGTCGTCTATAGAGACTCCCCCTTCAGCTCGTCTATAGAGACTCCCTGTTCAGCTCGTCTGTAGAGACTCCCTGTTCAGCTCGTCTATAGAGACTCCCTGTTCAGCTCGTCTATAGAGACTCCCTGTTCAGCTCGTCTATAGAGACTCCCTGTTCAGCTCGTCTATAGAGACTCCCTGTTCAGCTCGTCTATAGAGACTCCCTGTTCAGCTCGTCTATAGAGACTCCCTGTTCAGCTCGTCTATAGAGACTCCCTGTTCAGCTCGTCTATGGAGACTCCCTGTTCAGCTTGTCTATGGAGACTCCCTGTTCAGCTCGTCTATAGAGACTCCCTGTTCAGCTCGTCTATGGAGACTCCCTGTTCAGCTCGTCTATGGAGACTCCCTGTTCATTTCGTCTATGGAGACTCCCTATTCAGCTCGTCTATGGAGACTCCCTGTTCAGCTCATCTATGGAGACTGCCACATCAGCTCGTCTATAGAGACTCCCACATCAGCTCGTCTATAGAGACTCCCTCATCAGCTCGTCTATAGAGACTCCCCCTTCAGCTCGTCTATAGAGACTCCCCCTTCAGCTCGTCTATAGAGACTCCCCCTTCAGCTCGTCTATAGAGACTCCCCCTTCAGCTCGTCTATAGAGACTCCCCCTTCAGCTCGTCTATAGAGACTCCCCCTTCAGCTCGTCTATAGAGACTCCTTCTTCAGGTCGTCTATAGAGACTCCCTCTTCAGGTCGTCTATAGAGACTCCCTCTTCAGGTCGTCTATAGAGACTCCCTCTTCAGGTCGTCTATAGAGACTCCCTCTTCAGGTCGTCTATAGAGACTCCCTGTTCAGTCGTCTATAGAGACTCCCTGTTCAGCTCGTCTATAGAGACTCCCTGTTCAGCTCGTCTATAGAGACTCCCTGTTCAGCTCGTCTATAGAGACTCCCCTGTTCAGCTCGTCTATAGAGACTCCCTGTTCAGCTCGTCTATAGAGACTCCCTGTTCAGCTCGTCTATGGAGACTCCCTGTTCAGCTCGTCTATGGAGCCTCCCTGTTCAGCTCGTCTATGGAGACTCCCTGTTCAGCTCGTCTATGGAGACTCCCTCTTCAGCTCGTCTATGGAGACTCCCTGTTCAGCTCGTCTATGGAGACTCCCTGTTCAGCTCGTCTATGGAGACTCCCTGTTCAGCTCGTCTATGGAGACTCCCTGTTCAGCTCGTCTATGGAGACTCCCTCTTCAGCTCGTCTATAGAGACTCTCTCTTCAGCTCGTTTATAGAGACTCCCTCTTCAGCTCGTCTATAGAGACTCTCTCTTCAGCTCGTCTATACAGACTCCCTCTTCAGCTCGTCTTTAGAGACTCCTTCTTCAGGTCGTCTATAGAGACTCCCTCTTCAGCTCGTCTATAGAGACTCCCTCTTCAGCTCGTCTATGGAGACTCCCTTGAGTTCGTCTATAAAGACTGCCTTCAGCTCGTCTATGAAGACTCCCTTGAGCTCGTCTATAAAGACGGCCTTCGGCTCGTCTATGAAGATTCGCTTCAGGTCGTCTCCTCCCCCTCATCTTTAAAGACTCTCTCTTTCCAGTTCACCTAGAAACCCTCCCTTCTAATGACATTTTTTACGGATGTAAATATTTTTTTCAGACATATATTTTGACTCACCCAAGCACACTTGCAGATCCATTCTCTTGGCTAAATTATGCATCTTATCATCGTACAGCGTATCGAGATTGACCACCTCCTTGGTGGCGTGTGTGCTCCAATGTTGTACATTTTTCATAAGAATTAGGAACACAATTGTCAGAGTTGATGTTGGTGAGTTGATCATTTTGTCGACAGCAGAATTTGTTAGAGTGTTTTCAATTCAAAATTTCTTTTTTTTCATATATTTCGGAATCTTAAGGGTTAGATGACATTTGCAATCTGAAAATTCAAACAATTTTGGAATTTATTAAAATTTGGAATTGATTGGATAATAAATATCGCTACAATTGGAGTAAAATTGGCTTTAGGAAAACTGGACTTAAGAAATTTAAGATCAGCATTACACCCAAAACAAACAGAAGTTCTCAAATCTATAGAAAAGCTCCAGATAGAGGAAAACATTCTTGATAATATATGAATTTTTTTACACACAGAAGAACTGTTAAAAAAGAGCTCTAGAAGGCATTCTACATATTTACATAAAGCATCTAGAATATCTTCAAATATTGGAAACCTGCGGAAGGTTATATTTCAGAGAATATCCCATCTTTTGTCTCTAGAAGACTTTCAAAAGGACTTATATTTTAAGAAAACCTCAAGCATGTCTTCTTTCTTAGATGACTTCTGAAATTATTTCGCTCTATATAAGAACATCATAGAAGTACTCAATAAACGACCTTCACATGGCCGTAGTTTCTAGAAGGTGGTATTTTCAAAATTTCGCCAACTTCCGTCTATATAAGACTTCCAGTAAGTTTTCTATCCTTGTGAAACTCCCGAAAGGTTTTCGACCTCTAGAGACCTCTAAAAAGTCTTAAATATTTAGAAAGACTTCAAAAGATCTTCTTTCTATAAAAAAACTCAACAGAAGAGCTCGTCTATAAAGACAGTCTTTGGTTCCATAAACTTACATTAAATTTCCTCTATGTACATAAGGTCGCTGGAAAGTGGCGTTTTCAAAGAAGGTACTCTTTTTATAGAAAGCATGCAAGAGATATTAAATTTATGAAAGAAATTTAGAAGGTGTTTTTGCCATACAATATCTCTGAAAGATATTCCTTCCAAAAAAAAAAAAAAAACCGTAGCAGATCCTTTATAGAAAGATTTCTGCCTACAGAATCTTTGGGTGAAAACTTCCAGAAAAATATTCATACATAGAAGACCTTTTGAAGGTTTTTCATTTATACAAGACCACTAAAATGTTTTCCATCCAAAGAATACCTTCAGATTACCTTCTATCCATAGAATACATTTAGAAGTCCTGTTAACCATATAAGACCTTCGAAAGAAATTCTCTCTTTAGAAGACGTCCAAAATCACTCATTATATATAGTCTTCTATCTACAGAAGGCTTCCAGAAATAAAGGTGATAGAAGACCTTTAAAGGTTTTTCATTCTTACAAGCCCACTTGATGTTCCTCCATCCATAGAATACCTCCATAAGTCCAAATATCCATGGAAGACTTTCGGAAGGCCTGTTAACTAGAAGACGCGCTGAAGGCCTTTTAGCTAGAAAACATCTTCAGAATGCCTAAGACTTATAGACGAACTCCAATGGAAGACTTTAGGAAGGCCTGTTAACTATAGAAAATCTCCAGATGGAATTCTCTCTTTAGAAGACGCCCAAAAGGCCTTTTAGTTAGAAAACATCTTCAGAATGCCTAAGACTTATAGACGAACTCCAATGGAAGTCTGTAGTCTAGCTAAAGTCCTCTATCTACAGAAAGCGCCTAAAGGATCTGTATTTAATTGAAGAAGAGAATTTCCGAAAGGTCGAGTTTTTAAATTCGATCTTTATAAGGTTTTCTATGAATAAAAGGCCTTCCAACTTCTGTCTATGGAAGATACCCCGAATGTGGTATTTTCATGAAGACCTTCAGAAGGACATCCACCTATAAAAGACCTCAGGAAGGTATTTCATCAAGAAATCCAGAAGTTATTTTACCATAGAATGTTTCCTTCTATACCCTTATCCATACGACTACGGAGGGAATACAAACGGTCATTTTACACCTAATCTTTCTAATCCTCTTTCTTTGAAAGAAAGCGTGATATTAAATTACAGCTGGCCTTTTAGGCCTTATATTTTAAGAAAACCTCAAGCAGATCTTCTATCTGAATATGACTTCTGAAATTTCTTCGCTCTATAAATAAACTTCATAGAAGCACTCACATAGTCACATTGTCGTGGTTTCTAACCCTATCTTCCGTCCATTTAAGACTCCCAGTAGGATTTCTATCTTTGTACAACTCTCGAAAGCATCTTCTTTCTGAAGACGCCATCTAAAATATTTTCGATCTTTAAAAAGAGATCTTAAATTTATTGCAAGAGATCTTAAATTTATTGAAGAAATTTAGAAGGTGTTTTTGCCATACAATATCTCTGAAAGATATTCCTTCCATAGAAAACCGTGGCAGATCCTTTTCAAAAGATTTCTGTCTACAGAAGCTTTGAATCGAAACTTCCAGAAAAAATATTCTTACACAGACGACCTTTTGAAGGTTTTTCATTCTTACAATACCACCAAAATATTTTCCATCCAAAGAATACCTTCAGATTACCTTCTATCCATAGAATATATTGAGAAGTTCTGTTAGCCATATAAGACCTTTGAAAGAAATTCTCTCTTTAGAAGACGACCAAAATGTCTACCTACAGACGAACTTCAAAAGACTACTATATAGTCTTCTATCTACAGAAGGCTTCCAGAAATGAAGGTGATAGAAGACCTTTTAAGCTTTTTCATTCATACAAGACCACTAGATGTTCCTCCATCCATAGAATACCTCCATAAGTCCAAATATCCATGGAAGACTTTCGGAAGGCCTGTTAACTAGAAGACGCGCTGAAGGCTTTTTAGCTAGAAAACATCTTCAGAATGCCTAAGACTTATAGACGAACTCCAATGGAAGACTTTCGGAAGGCCTGTTAACTATAGAGAATCTCCAGAAGGAATTCTCTCTTTAGAAGACGCCCAAAAGGCATTTTAGTTAGAAAACATCTTCAGAACTCCTAAGACTTTTAGACGATCTCCAATGGAAGTCTGTAGTCTAGCTATCTAGTCCTAGTCTATCTAGTCCTCTATCCACAGAAAGCACCTAAAGGATGTGTATTTAATTGAAGAAGAGAATTTCCGAAAGGTCGAGTTTTTAAATACGATCTTTAAAAGGTTTTCTATGAATAAAAGTCCTTCCAACTCCTGTCTATGGGAGATACCCAGAAAGTTGGATTTTCATGTAGACCTTCAGAAGGACATCCACCTATAAAAGACCTCAGGAAGGTATTTCATCAAGAAATCCAGAAGTTATTTTACCATAGAATGTTTTCCATTCAACTTGAACCCCAGAATAAGTAGTCTTCTATCTATAGAAAACTTCTAGCAAATCTTTGGAACGTAGAAGACCTTTGAAAGGATTCTTCTGTATTGAAGACACCCAGAAAGTGATATATTTTTAATGGTGCCTCTGAAAGCCTTCTATCTTCAGAAAAGATCCAAAAGGATGTCTTTCGTTAGAATAATATTATAAGGCCCTCTAAGTACAGAAGAGCTACCTATAGGACACCTCAAGACATTCCTTCTATACCCTTATCCATATGACTACAGAGGGAATACAAAAGGTCATTTTACACCTAATATTTCTAATCCTCTTTCTTTGAAAGAAAGCGTGATATCAAATTGTAGCTACTTTGGACTCAAAAGCTTTTAAATTCCGAAAATCAGGAGAGTTTCAACTACACACTGAGGTCCCAATTCGAAACCGTTAAAATACCAGAAACCAAGAGGTATATGGTTGGTATATTAAAAAGTGGACTTACATTAAATAGTTTTACGGGGAGCTATTTATCTACTGGGACCACTGTTTAGGCGCTATAACTTTTCCATATAAGAGTACTACAAAAGTCTATCCCAAATGTCATTTATCTGGAAATTCTTCACCTCTATCTTGATTTCAAAAGACGGACAAGTAGGCCGACAGAGGGTATGACTTCTTTACATCGGTTTAGAATATTACGCTGTTCATAAATTTTGGAATTATATGAAGTCTCTTCCGATTTTTTTTGAAGTGTTGCAGACAAAAGGTGTGACAATTGCAATATACCCTTCATTTTATGGCGGAGGTTATAAAAATCATCGTTGCATTCAAACTGTTGACCAAAACCATTAAAGATTCGCTTAATCGACCAATTTGTTATCAATATCCTTCATTCCATACCCCCCATGTGAGCGAATAATTGTTATTACAAAATGTTGAGATAGACGACACAAACACATGCACACCACACACACACACACTCTCCCCCATACAACAATATAACTGGAACAGGAGAAGGCAATTAAACGCACGAATACGCAATCTTTGCGAGCACACAATGAAACAAACAAGCATGCACACACACATACATGTATACATACATATAGACACCAAAGGACTTTCCGAAGTCCAAAGAACAGGGAAAATAATAACGATTTTAACAATAAATTGTTTAAATATAGATTTTGCACTTTCAGATTTTTTACGTTTTCCTCTTTTGTTTCAATATTTTTACAGCTTTTAATCGCAAATAATTTTTTCCTATTTCCTCACTGTTTTGTTATCCACATTTACACCTTTCCCTTTGGGTTGCTGACAATAATATGGTACACTTTTCGAGATTTTCACTTTTCCTTTTGCATTGTCTGCACAATTTCCACTACTAATTTTCTATTTGTTTTTCCACAAGAAAATGTTCAGTATTCTTTTTTGCGTTGCACTTTAAGGTCATTAAAGAGATTTTTTTCCAAATATGGATGGGATGTTTGTTTTTCATTACTTTTTCAATGTCTTGCTGCCGCTTCTGTTTCTGCTTTATTTTTTTTTGTACCCTTCTGTTAGTTTTCACTTGACTTTGTGTCGTTGGGGAGCAAAAACGAAAAACTGAAATGTCAAAATGGAAAGTATAAAGTGCGTGTGTGTGTGTGCACCACCCTACAATTGTTTGCATGGGCTGAGGATGTCATGCAGTGCAAAAACTAAAATCAAAACATTGAGATAAAAGGTGCTAGTGAAAAAAAAAACAAAGGAAAAACCTCTACCACCACCACCTGATAAAGGCAATGTGTCAATTTTCAACCCCACACCCACCCCCATGTAAAAAGGGAATAAAGTGGTTGTTTCTTGCAGTGTTGTACTTTGGGTATAACAGGGTTGTAATTTGGTCGCCATTTTGAATGGTCAAT